GGCCAATTTATTCGCCACTCGACTCACACACCTGCTCTCTGAGAGCACTCTTCAACAATCCGACGTACGCGAGCAGTGGAACCACATTTCCCGATCATTAAGTACCGCCGCCGAAGAAGTAGTTGGATTTCAGCGAGCCCGAAAGAACAACTGGTACGATGAGGAATGTCAAGAAGCCGCAGAGAAAAAAGATGCCGCCTACAGGGCCACGCTGCGATCGGGCGCAACGCGAGCCATGTGGGACCGTTATAGGGAACTGAAGAAGGAAGCGAGACGTATTTGCCGCAATAAGAAGAGAGAGGCCGAAATACGTGAGTGCGAAGAGCTTGAGATGCTGGCCGGCAGGAAGAACGCCCGAAAATTCTACCAGAGGGTTAGGCGACTTACGGAAGGTTTCAAGACCGGGGCGAACTCCTGTAAGAACAACAATGGCGACCTAGTGACCGATGTCCAGAATATACTTAAATTGTGGAGGGAACACTTTTATAACCTACTGAATGTTAGCAGCGCTGAAAGTAGTGAGGAAGACGAACCCGAGTCCCCAGTCGATGATGATGGAGTAGCTGTCCCACCGCCTGACTATGACGAGGTACGTATAGCGATTACGCGGCTGAAAAACAACAAAGCTGCTGGAGCTGACGGCCTGCCAGCCGAGCTATTCAAGTACGGCGGCGAGGAGCTGATTAGGTGCATGCATCAGCTCGTATGCAGAATATGGTCAGATGAACGCATGCCCGACGACTGGAATTTAAGTGTGCTCTGCCCAATCCACAAGAAAGGTGACCCCGCCATACGCGCCAACTACCGCGGAATTAGCCTTCTAAGCATAGGTTACAAGGTCTTATCGAGCGTATTGTGCGAAAGACTGAAGCCCACCGTCAACGAGCTGATTGGACCTTATCAGTGTGGCTTTAGGCCTGGAAAATCCACCATAGATCAGGTATTCACAATACGCCAAATCTTGGAAAAGACCCGCGAGAATACGATCGACACACACCATCTATTTGTCGATTTCAAAGCCGCTTTCGACAGCACGAAGAGAAGTTGCCTTTATGCCGCGATGTCTGAATTTGGTATCCCCGCGAAACTAATACGGCTGTGTAAAATGACGTTGTGCAATACCACCAGCTCCGTCAGAATAGGGAAGGACCTCTCCGAGCCGTTTGATACCAAACGAGGTTTCAGACAAGGGGACTCCCTTTCGTGTGATTTCTTTAATCTTATGTTGGAGAAGATAATAAGAGCCGCAGAACTGAACCGCTCAGGCACAATACTTTATAAGAGCGTACAATTGCTGGCGTATGCCGACGACATCGATATTATCGGTAAAAACAAGGGCTACGTCTGTTCTGCCTTCTCGGGATTGGATAGAGAAGCAAAGCGAATGGGTCTGGTGGTGAACGAGGACAAAACGAAGTATCTCCTGTCAGCACACAAACAGTCAGAGCATACGCGTCTTGGCACCCACGTCACTGTTAACAGTTACAAGTTTGAAAAAGTAGACGACTTCGTTTATTTGGGAACCAGCATTAATACCAATAATAATGTCAGCCTTGAAATCCAACGGAGAATCACTCTTGCCAACAAGTGCTACTTTTGGCTGAGTAGGCAATTGAGAAGTAAAGTCCTCTCTCGTCGTACAAAGATCACACTCTATAAGTCACTCATCATGCCTGTGCTGGTGTATGGCGCGGAAGCATGGACAATGAAAGCATCTGATGAGGCGGCTCTTGGGAGTTTTCGAGAGAAAGATTCTGCGAAAGATTTACGGACCTTTACGCGTTGGTGATGGCGAATATCGCAGACGATTTAACGATGAGCTGTATGAGCTTTACAACGATATAGACATAGTGCAGCGAATTAAAATTCAGCGGCTCCGCTGGCTTGGCCATGTCGTTCGGATGGACAGAAACGCTCCTGCTCTGAAAATATTCAACGCGGGCCGCGATGCTGGTAACAGGAAGAGGAAGGCTTCCTCTGCGTTGGAAAGACCAGGTGGAGAAGGACTTGGCTTCACTTGGCATTTTCAATTGGCGTCAGTTAGCACAGAAGAGAAATGACTGGCGTGCTGTTTTGGACTCGGCCAAAATCGCTTAGGCGGTTACAGCGCCAATTAAGAAGAAAGAAGAATTATATACCAATTTCAAAGTTAACCACAATTGCAGAAATTTTCGAATGTGTTATTAACGAAAAATTGCTGATAATGGCAGCTTAATTAGTCCAAACCAACATGGTTTTATTAAAGGAAGATCCATAGTCTCCAATCTTGCAATTTCTACGGAAGATTGCGCGAACTATGCCTAAATGGGACTGAATAACTCAGTGTGAGGGCAGGACCAGGATGAATGTATTTGCATAAAAATTTATTAAAGCAAAAATGTTTTGGGTAGGCGTCGGAGCCAATGATAACCATCAGTTACCACCTCTGCATGGTTGTAAGTCATGCAGAGTCCCTACGGCTTGTAGCGCTGTGGCTTTGCCGCTTAAACTCTGTAAGAGTTTTTGGGGGTGTGCGTCAAGCGGAGTGTTGAGCACCGGTTATTTATTTAAGTTCAAAAATTGGGTAGGCGCTGTGGCCAATGGTAGCTCTTGTACCACCTCTGTATGCCGAAGGCAATACAGAGCCCCGTAAGACAACTCCGAGAGAGTTGTGATGCATCAAGCAAGTTTGTTGAGCATAATTTGGAGTGCCAGCAATTAACTACTTTAGTAGGTTTTGTTCTGCGGCAGTTGAGAAGTGCATTAAAAAATGCATACCCAATGAAGAACGAACGAATTATTTTTAAGCACAAGTGCGTGTGTTTATTCGCTGCACTTGGTTTTGGGCGGGAGTGCAATATACAAGTGCGTGTGTGTGTTCGCTGTTCTTTGTTTATGCGGGGAAATGCATAAGTCGCTTAAACAGGGACCATTTTTGAATTCGTGAAATGAAGAATTCATGAATTCTGCCGCATAAACGTAGTATATGTGTGCGTGTCAGTCCACCGTCAATCCGCGATTTTCGCGTACTGAAATGAACGAGGTGAACTCGAACTCTCTTCCCCCTCTTATCCACACAAAACCGGTTTTAGGTGGACTGAGCAGTCCAGTGTGCGGACGCCCAATAGGGCTGAATATTGTTATTGAGCTTTGTACCACGATTTTGTTTATTTATTGAGTTGACAAATGATATTTTTATGTTTAGCCATTAATAGGAGTAGTTCATGACGCCATCTTAATGAAAGTTAAATAAAAAAGTCAGTCCTTACGCTGGATTTCCACTAGGTATTAAATGGCAAACATTAAAAATATGAAAAAGTGGGGCATTAAAAAATTATCGTGTCAATGGGCCGTATGCATAAAAAATAAGCAATTGCTTTTACTTAAATTCCATACCTTTCACTTAAATTTGTTTGAGAAAATCGAGTAAAAGGTCTGAAATTTTAAGAAAATGTATTTGCTTAGGTTTTATGTATACGGCCCATTATGTGAAAAGTCCTTGAGTTCATTTCCACATGGCATTTTTTTTAAATGGCAGACATTTTTTGTCATTTCAATGCCAAGTGGGAATTCGGCATTATAATTTACTCTAAATTCCAACCTACAGAAAGCACAGAGGTTGTTTTGATGAATTTTTTAACGCATCCGTATGTACAAATCGTTACTTTAATTCACAAAGGCCCTAACCAACTTTTTGTTTTTTATTTTACAGGACAAGCAAACACATTATAAAATTAGTATCAAAAACGGGTAGGGCTTTTTAAAAAGTGGTATGTAACTCCGTTGTTTTGGTACTAACACGTCACAATTTTTATTGAAGGTGTATTTTAATACAATCTACCAAAATTTGTGAAAAACTCAGTTTCGAACAAGTAAGAAAGTCTAAGTTCGGGCGGAGCCGAACATTAAATACCCGGCGCAAATATTAAATATATGATTTTCACCTTTCCGAAAGCTACCGCTACATGGTAAGCCGGGGTGTATCAATTTTGAGTAAATTAGCGTCCTTAAATTTCAAAATATTGACGTTTCAAGCATTTCTAAAATGTACCGTTATATGAAAAACCATAATTTTAGTCCGATTTCAATAATTTTCATCGTTTTGCTTTTATGTAGCAAGCACAAAAAAAATACCGAGTTTGGTACAAATTGGTAGAACGGTTACCGAGATAACATATATGTGATCATAAGTGGGCGGTGCCACGCCCATTTTTCAAAATTTTATTATAGACGTATTTCCTGGTAAGGAATTGTTTGAAGCATCAATTTTGAATAAATTGGCCTTAATATTTACTGATTTATCGAAGATTTCGTATTTCTCCAAATTACCGTTATATGAGATGTGGGCGTGGTTATTGCCCGATTTTAAAAATTTTCGGCCATTTGGTATCCTGTACCAAGGCCAATAACTGTGCCAAGTTTGGAAGAAATCGGTGCAGCGGTTGCCAAGATATACACATGTATCCATAAGTGGGCGTGGCTACGCCCATTTTTCAAAAATTTATAACATTCTTATTTTTCGTCTAAAAATTATTGTAAATATCAATTTTGAGTTAATAATCTTCAGTAGTTACTAAAATATCGCAGTTTTCGTACTTCTGAAAATTACCGTTATATGGGAGGTAGGCGTGGTTATTGTCCGATTTTGCCCATTTTCAATACCATCCGTCCTACGCCCGAAAGAAGTACACGTACCAAGTTTCGTTAAGATATCTTAATTTTTACTCGAGTTATCGTGTGCACAGACGGACGGACAGACGGACGGACGGACGAACAGACAGTCACCGCTTAATCGATTTCTCTTTTCATCCTGATCATTTATGTATACATTTGTCTATATGTATCTCGATTCATTTTGCCTGTTACAAACAACCGTTATGTGAACAAAGTTATAATACCCTTGTGCACAAGTGCGCTCGGGTATAAAAAGTGTTGGTTAGGGCCTTTGTGAATTAAGCTAACGATATGTTCTAATGAATCTACAAATCCGATGTTTATTATTTATAAGTAAAAGTCTTTAGTTTTGTGTCAATTATACATGTGTACATTTTAGTTTTTATTAATTGAGGAATACGTACGTATACTAAAGCTGATATCAAAAATATATCAGAAATTTCCATGATACTAATATCTTTCCGAAAATCTCGTCATCCATTGAATATCGTAGATTAGTACTTGTTTGCATTTCATACTAGCTTACAAAGCTGCTCATATTTGCATAACAGCATATAAAGTAAAAATCAACATTACATCAGAGATTTTCATGATACAAAATCTTTATGAAAATCTCGTCATTAATTGAATTATTAACTATCAGATGCTAGTCAGTCATATATAAAAATTTTACAAGATATGTACAAACCAACACATCGTTTCCTTAATAAATTGGTCCTCATGTAAATAGAAAGGCGATACATAACATATTGGTTCGTTTACATAGATAGTAATTACAAAAAATTCTAGGATTTTTCAAATGAGAATTTCCTCCAACACTGTCTTTTAATAAAGGATGTAACAAACTAATTACGTAGTTGGAGAAAAAATAGTTAAGAAATTTTCTATGGTATGTACACATCGGTGGTTCTCTTCAATAACGACACACTTCAAAATTGAAAAAGCCGCTTAACAGTAGTAGGGGGTTTTATTTTTTGAATTTTGAATTATGTCATTGCAGAGGACCATCGATATGTATAAAATATGGCAAATTTTCTGCACGAGTGTCATAATGCAAAAAAAGTCTAGTATGCAGAAATGACCGCTACCTATTATTCTATGTTGTGTAAAAATTGCATAGCTGCGGAAACCGATTAGCAGTAGCTCTCTTGAACAAAATATCCCAATAAACACCAAAAAAATATTTCTTCAACCTTGGAGAAATTCATAGTTCTCAAGTTGATATCCAACATCGTTCTCCAACTTATCTCTAACCGACGCGCAGATCGTAAAAAGTGATAAACAAATTTTTAATTACCAAGTGAAAAACGAAAGCTATATATAGAGGAAAATTACCAACAAAAAGTAAATAATCTTCAAAGTATCCTCAAATAATCTGGAAAGAAAATAAAACGCGAAGTGAATCAAGTAGCAAAATTACGGTCGGACTGTATACTGAAGTGAATTATTGTCATACGATATTGATGAACTACATAATACGAAAGGAGTAATAAAAAGAAAAATTAATATTTAAATTCATCTATGTACATATGTCGCTTCACTCAAAAAGGTAGAAGGTATTTTACTATTTCAATTTCAGTATTTTAATGATATGTTTAAGACCAATTGGAGAATTACATTCTCAACTTGATCCTCCACTTGAGGTACTGTTGAGAAACAACGTTGGAGATTTAAGAATTACCTTAATTCTCAACTTAACCTCAAGTCGAGCTTAAACCTAAATGTTTATTGGGATGTATTAATTTTTTGATTTTTAGGATTATGAGACTCTTGCAGCAAATGTGTTATATGTATATTAAAGTAACGGTATACGTAATATTTGATTACATAAAAATGAAAGTTTCTCATTTACATTATTGGTTTACTTCTAAAAATGTTACATTATCTACTAGACAAGCGTCACGACTTTCCGACTTTTTCACTCTACCCACAATCCAAGCTTGCTGTCTGTTTTTGGTTAGTGCTTTGAAGTCTTCGCAGAAAGCTTTAGCTTTAGCCACTGATAAACATATTAAAAGGCCACCAGATGTTTCAACGGCTTTGCCACTTCTTAGCTTTCGATCTTGCCCAAGTATTTCTGCGATAGTCAGTACGTTTGCAATAATCGGCAATGTATTCAATTCAAACATTACTTTATTTTTCTGAAACTGTGCGAGATTCTTTGCATGTCCAAGCAAGCCAAACCCAGTCACGTCTGTAGCAGCATGTGCTCCATACTTGTGCATAAGTTCGGCAGCCGTTTTGTTTAGGAACGTCATAGACTCAACTGCTATGTTAGAGGTTTTTGATATGGCATCATCACTTAAACACGCCGATATTCGTTTATATTTTTCATTTTGTTCCTCCATCCAGAGATACGCATTCGTCGCCAGTTGGGTGCCTAGGGGCTTTGTAAGGACAATGGCGTCGCCCTCCTTGGCATTTGAAGGCATTATAATCTCTGGCTCAGTGCATACCGAGCTCGCAATGCCTCCAATTATGCACCAAGGGTTTAACGATATACTCTGAACATGAACTCGACACCCAGCCTCTTTAGCAGACTCGTGAAAACCCTCAACTATCTGTGGTATTATAACGTCACGTTCCAGTTCGGAAAATTCAGTTGATACGCTTACAAGCATATTTAACTTGTCGAAAGTTGTAACGCCTACAGCGTAAATATCGCTTACCACGTTTGCCAAAGCTATCTTACCCATAATTTTCGGATCATTCACTAGTGGATAAAAGAAGTCAACAGTTTGTACGAGAAAATAATTTTTGTGTCGAGATAGCGGAATCACAGCGCAGTCCATTCCAGAACCAATAAACCCATCTTTATCTTTTTTGTTTTCGTCATGAGCTACTTTGTGCAAGATTTCTGTTTCCTGGAGGTACTTGGTCAGGGCCTCTTCAGGTAACTTGCATCCTCATCCGCGTAGAGTAGAAAAGTTAGTGAGACGAAAGTCTTCAGGAAGCCCATGGTCAGTTGGTTTGTACATCTTGTTTGCTTTGGTTATATTCCTAGTGAGAATTACCTTTTAATGCTAATAAAACTAATAATTCGGTTGTCTGTAGAAGTTACTATAGCTAGAAATGGCAGCGATTTATCACTCGATTAAATTAATCGATTATTTTTGTCCAATTTATGATGTAAAGCTGATGCCACATAAAACTTTTGCTTCGCTTTACGTGACAGATTCGCTTTGACAGATAAGATGAATTGTATGAAAATGCACAAAGCATGCCACATAAATCGTTGAAGCGGCAGCGCGAAGCGAAAAGATGGTCAACTCCCATCTTTTTGCGCGCTTTGACAATCAGCCGGTTTAATATTTATTTTGTTTCGTCCAAATTCGGGTTTTCATGCAGAAACATAAAACTTAATTACATTGCTGATAATTTTAAATCAAAATAATTAAAATCCACAGCAACTTTGATGAGTAAAAAAAGCGGTACAACATTGTTTTCTTGGCGTTCATTGTGGCATACCTTTTGCGTCTGGCGCTTTGCTGGCAAAGTTATAAATGTCACGCAAAGCTACAAAGTTTTATCTGGCATCAGCTTAATTCCTGCAAAAAACTACTGACCACATTAGTAGCGTTCTTGTACGCGATAGTTTGTACCAGTTTGTACTAACTATCACGTTTTGGTGTTCTTTTACCCAAAAAACTTGTAAGAAAGGGGAAATTGAGAGCGCAAATTGACATTCCTTTCTGAGGGGAAGTTGCTAGTTTTGGGTTGGCTTTCCTTTATGGCCGTTCGTTAAAGGGGCGGTGGGCGAAAGGTAAGTGGGCGTGGCACCTCTAACCCACCTTTTTGGAGAGGGAATGAACCGCCATTAACAAAAATGCAAACCCCGACCACCTAGGGACCCCCTAGAGAAATTGCCAAAAATCACAATTTTCTTTTTCGTTTATTCGCTTGAAAAATGTTAAATATTCATTTGCACAATACATTTTTATATACACATTTTTATATACAAGACATTTTTATAAAACACCCAGTAACCAAAATAGACATCACTGGGCCGGCAGCCCCAGGTTTACCACATAGCAAGGTAATTCTAGTTACCTCATCCTGGGGCGGTAGCCCCAGTTAGGTCACACAAAAAGGAGAATTCTACGAAGTAAGGGTTATAATCCCTAAGCGCGGCCGAAGGCCGCCTACGCAGAAAGGAATTCTACGCAAAAATACTGTGGACGCAAGTAAAAATTGCGATTTTTGGCCATTTTTCTAAGGGGTCCGTAGGGAACCATAGGGGGCCTAGGTGGTCCGGGGTTGCATTTTTGTCAATGGCGGTTCATGCCCTCTCCAAAAAGGTCGGTTGGAGGTGCCACGCCCACTCCGCCTTCGCCCACCGCACCTTCAACGAACGGCCATATTGGAAAGTTTCCCCCTAGTTTTTACTGGATAAATTTTTGCTAGTAAGAACTTGCAAGTGAGAAAAACAGCTGATCGCATGTTGCTGGGTGGAATTAAAACTAATAGAAGAAATGTTTATGAGGTTTTCATAGTTGAAATTGACAAAATAAACCTATTTAAATATAATATATATTGTTTTAATAGGAACTAGCTGCGAATAAACAACAAATTAATCAGCTGTTCGTAAAACTTGCAAATTCTTACTGGTTTTGCGTTCTTGTACTTTTGTGCTATGAGAGCGAATTCTCAGAAACTAAGTTACTGGAGAATTACTGGATAATTTGTATCTAAAAGAACACCACTATTATATAGTTGTGTTTATGGGGCTTTCGCACGGGCGATTTTTCAGGCAACTTTTGCGCTCAACTCACGCAGGGTTGCACGAAAAAAAAATCGTATGGTTAAAAATATCAAAATATAAAAAAATATTCGCCATAAAAAGGCGTTTGCATTGTTCAACTTTACATTATACTTTTGGTTGGACGGCCTTTCAACTAATCGCTTTCAACAGAGTTGGTCGCCAGCCAACATTTCGCCATTCAACTTTTTTTTCGTGCAACCCTGCGTAAGGTGAACGCAAAATCGCCTTGTGCGAACACCTTTTTAAAAAAACCGAAAAAAGTGCAGAGCAGCTCAAGTTAATGGGCTGTTTTTGCTTACACGTAAAAGCACATTTTTCGCATTTAGCTCTAAATGCTACTCTAATGGCCTGTTTTTTGCATACGCATAAAAGCACATTTAGGGCCGGTTGTTCAATGTCTGATTAGCACAAATCGGAGGTAGAAGCTAAGGTTAGATACAACGACTGCTTTATCGATCACATGTTATATGCATGATGTCGAAATCGTCGATAATGATATTTAACCGGCAAGTAGTGATAACCAGACATTGAACAACCGGCCCTTAGCGCATTTAGCTCTAAATCCTACTCTAAGGGCCGGTTACTCAATGTCTGGTTAACACTAGTCTGCTGTTAAACATCGTTATCGACGTCTTCGACTCCATGCATACAACAGGCCTCGGAGGCCGGCGCGTTGCGAGTCTCCGCACTCTATGGCAGGCCCTTCGCAGCTCTGCAATTTGGTCATTCCACCAGTATTCCTGCTTTTTACCTGACCATGCTCTTCTCTGTGGCATTGAGGCTTTGCAGCGGTGAATGCAGCGCATGGTTTCTTCGACCAGCTTAGTACAAGACTCCCTGTTGTGGATCTCTCCCGTTGTGGGTGAAATACCTTGGGAATCTGCTAGGAGTGATATATCGAACTTGCGAACATCAACCCTACACGGGTTCCATCCTAGTTTCCTGCGAGGGATACTACGTGTTTGCCCTCGCGTTGTGTCAGTGACTTGGAAGGTGATGTAGTTGTGGTAGCTACAACTCAGGTCTTCCATCACTCTCCATCCGTCGGCCCTTCGAAGAAGACTTTCTGAGACCAGGGTTATATCAGGGATAGAGTATCCAAAACCCGGCCTTCGATATGTAGGGGTCGATCCGGTGTTGAGGATGGTCAGGCCAATGCGGGCTGCCATTTCAAGGACCAGTCTTCCCCTGTTTGGGGTATACCCCATTCCACGCCTCTTGCGTTGAAATCTCCAGCAACAATTATGTGACCGGTTATGTCGCGCAATTCGTCTTCAAGGTCTTCGAGCTTTTCCCTGAAGACAAGGACTGTGTCGTTTGGAGACGGTACCAGAGTGATTTGCGCCATTTTAACCCAGACGTAGCAGCGTCCGACCCCGCTGCTCTCTGCGCGATGGTTGGGGTTAGCAATCCATATCGCGGCCGAGCCTGATTGGTCAACATGCCAGGTTTCCTTTGTTCTATAGGGTTCACTGATGATGACAGCGTCTGCTCTTTGTTCAAGAACCAATTGGTCCAGCAGGTCTCAGCTACCCTACTCCTGTTCATATTGCCTTGTATAAATTTAATCATATTCTCCCAAGCTTTGTCTTAGCCTCAGCAAGGGCATCCCTGAAGGCCTTGCACGCTCCCGTTTATTCCGACAATGGCACTAATTTTGTCGGAACCGAAAGGGAGTTGCGTGCTGAATTCGAACGATGCATCGGTGACGACAAGCTGACGAGTTACTTTGCTAACGCTCAAACTACTTGGCATTTTAACCAACCAAGCGCCCCGCACATGGATGGTTATTTGGAGGCTGGTATAAAGCGTATCAAATACCAAGTATGCCTTAGACTCCACTGTTTTGACTTACGAAGAATTCGCTACAATTCTAACGGAGGTTGAAGCCTGTGTGAATTCTATACCCTATATACGGCATAACTATTAGGTACACACGTATATTATCAAAAGTAGGCTAAATACTGTTTTGTTTTTAAAAGGCGAAACTTTTAGTACTTGCATGTATCAAAGAAAGTATGTATATTAAATTTTACAATAATAGCTTAGAATGACGTAATTTACTTGTCCAATGGTTTATAGGGTATATGTGAAACCGTAAAGAATGGTGCCTATTGCAAATTTTAGTGTTAATTATAATCTTTGTTATTGGTTATAGTGTTGATATTTCTATGCAAGAATGTCATGTGCAGTGAATAGAAAATAATGACAGGGATGATATTTTTAACTAATATGGTTACGGGTAGACGGGTAAACGGAGAATAACCATAACTTTAAAGGCCTAATTATATTATTATTTTCTTTATAGGATTGAGCTCAAATATCATTTGGGTTACTCGTCAAATCCTCTATGAAATAATGAAAAATTCAGGTTAGGAGTTTCTTTCAAATTGCCGAGAGGTCAGCAATAATAACAAAGGTTGATCTCAAATTAATTAAAATGATGCACACAATTATTATAGCTATTTCTAGTGGCCATCAAATCGAGGTGAAAAGTTTCGCAGCTACGCTTTAAATACAGCGAAATATTTTGTTAAATGTTACCAATGGTATAAAATGCAACCAACACTCCACATATACATTCATATGTCATCCATGGGTTAGCTTTGTTGCCTATCGGTCAATTGTCAGAAGAAGCTCTAGAGGCGCGAAATAAAGATTTTAAGAGCTACAGAAAACATTTTTCTCGCAAGTACAACAAAAAAAAGACGAATGAGCATATATTCAATAGACTTTTGATTAGTTCCGACCCTGTTGTATCAAGTATTAGCCAGTTTACACGATGACTTTTCACCCTGGGTGGATTCCCTCCGCTTTAAAAATGAGGACGAAAGAGTTGACCAAAGAAGATTTTACGCTTAAATGTCAAAAATACGCAAAAAACGGCGCAAAGAAAAAGTCATCGTGCAAATGCACGAGGATTTTCGAAGACTTTTTTAAAAGAGAACGTGCCAAAAACGCAGGGTGAAAAGCCGTCGTGTAAATTGGCTCTATGAGAAAACTGCCCAAAAAAAATTGCAGGATTTGCCGAAAGAAGCACAACAGTTGTTAATTATGCAGCCTTACTGGCCGTCTCCACAGGATAAAATTTATTGCTGCCCAGCTGTCATTTTGGTCGCTAGATATAAGTTATATCAGCGGCAATATTTGTGTGGGCTTTTTTATATCTTGATATAAGCATTTGTATGATAGCTTCGAAAACGTATTTTTGCCGGATTTAATCGCTTAAAAAATTTTAAAAATAAGCTATTTTACAACCAAATACATAATTACAAATATTTTACAGGAAACAGCTCAATTTTTGCTTTTATATTAAAATAATAGTGGTATTCATCTAAACCGATAACTTTATCAAGCAGATAATCTTATAAGTTTATACACTCTGTTACATGAACGACCCACACTCTCTTTTCGTTTACACATGCGACAATAGCCGTGTTTTCTTTGGTTATAAAGCGCAGTGTCACTAACTTTATACTACTAGCACGGGGATAAAGAAATTATAGAAACTACCTCACTAAATTGGAAAAAATTATATTTACGAGATATCTATTTAAATAAATGTACATATAACATAAAGGCTATTTATTTGAAGCAAGTTATAAGAAACAATGGCAGAATGTCTGTTTGTGTATGAATTCATTTGTCACGGCTACCAAACTTTGCTAATTATCAGTGAAACAAAACAAACAGACGGGATAATAATTGAACCATATCTCTATCAGGATCATATCGTTGTTGAATTTGCATGCAAAATTTGTATGCGGATCCCGATTATTGCCTAAGAAAACATAGCTAGAATTGCGACAGAGTTGCATTGTCTTCAGTTTATCAAGTTTATTCAGTGAAATCGCTGGATAAATTTATCAGAAATGTGTAAACGAGTTTCCATACAAATTTTGACAGTTCATTTATAAGGTTTACACAATTATAAGTCTATACGGTTTACAATGCATTTATAAGGTTTGATTAATACCCTTAATAATGATGTTGCAGTCACGAAGTTTTCGTGCAAATGAAAATGTAAGCTCTGATATATATTGCTCTCGAAGAGCAATGAGCAGACTCCATTTGCAAATTATATTCTGACATATGTATCAAGATATAAACTTTATCCTGTGGAGACGGCCAGTTATAGCGATGATGAAGATGTTGATAGTGATGACAATGACGCAAGTTGAAGATGATGATTATTTTTATTAAAGGTTATATATTCTAAGTTACTTTCTACGCTTAATAAAAACATGTAGATAATTTTTGAAGAGAAAATTTGTACAATTCGTATTCATTATCATATAAAAATTTACCAAAAAAAGTAATGATGTGGGTGATGTTCATGATGAAAATAGTAATTAAGATAATTATGAGAATAATTTTTATAATGATAGGACAGGTGTTTAACTTATAATTTATGATGATTAGGATTTTAACAAATTATCATTAATAAAAAAAAATTATTAATGGGAGTAACAACTATACTTTAACTTTTCTCGCTCTTTGGTAACGTCGTAAAATCCTACAGAAAAATCAATAAAAATTGTTGAATATAATCCTACAGAAAAACAAAATTCCCACTAAACCACTTTCGGATTTGTCTTTTTTTACTTCATTTGGTGGTATTTATACAGATACATCAAAATATTTTAATTTAAATGTACGTATGGATTAATCTCCTACTGTGCGATGCGCAGATACGTAAAAAGTGATAGAGAAACTAATTTTTAATTATCAAGTGAAAAACTTAAGCTATATAAAGAGGAAAATTACCAACAAAAAGTAAATAATCTTCAAAGTATCCTCAAATAATCTTGAAAGAAAACGAAACGCCAAGTGAATCAAGTGGAAAAATTACTGTCGGACTGTGTACTATGAAGGGAATTATTGTAATACGATATTGATTAACTACATAATACAAAAGGAGTAATGAAATGAAAAATTAATGTTTAAATTCATTTGTGTATGTCGATTTAATCAAAATGGTTTAAGGTATTTTAATATTTCAATTTCAGTATTTAAATGAAATGTTCGAGACCAATTGGAGAATTGCATTGGAGTTCAAGTTGAGAACTAGCATTTTCTCAACTTGAGAAATAGTCCTTTTTTCATACAAAGAAAAATGCCCTTTTTGCTCAAAACGATATGAGCCTCCACTTGAGGTACTGTTGAGAAACAACGTTGGAGGTTTCAGAAATACCTTAGTTCTTAACTTAACCTCAAGTTGAACTCAAATCTAAATGCTTATTGGGAATGAATGAAATTTTCAAAAATGGCCCTACTGCGCCAACTTTTCCCTTACTGGTGTTATTGCATTGCAACTTGATAGCAAGTTCTTGATCGTGTAATGTACATGTAAATCGAGAGTCACTTGCTGTGTAGAATACAACTCTGGCTGAATAACTCGCTGCGCGAATTCGTTGCTTGCTGGCGACTCTCTTTCGTTGTGCATTTTCTTCAAATTGAGGCACGCTTCGTGTATAGGTACAGTTGTTCTGCAAATTCATTCCGATTTTGAAGTGAAGTGGGGAGGTGTGTGTTTTGTGGTCGTTTTAAACATTCAACAAAATTTAGATAAATTGTGAGTTTTATTAATTTGAAGTGACCGACTTAGTACAAATTTAAAGGTAAGTTTTAAATAGTTGAAAAATTTTAAGTATAATTAAAAATAGTGTGCATGAATGGTAGGGCGTCATGGTAGGGCTCGAAATCGCAGCATGCTTTCGGATTACATATGTTAATAACACATATGTAACTTTTAATCACTCTTATTCGGATTTATGTAGTATTTTTATTGTATTCTACAAAAATCTTTTAGTAAAAGTAGTGCGCATAGCTAAATTTCTGTGGGTTTATCATTAGAAATAATTGCGTTCATATCGATTAAATCTGTTCGGTATTTGTAATGGCGGGCATACGATGCTCAGTGACGCCAACAAATTTCCTACCAGCAAAAAAAAAAAAAGAAATGACCAATGTTTTCTGAACGTATTAGGATGTCAATTCTTATTATGTTTAATTAAATTATTGGCGTGAACAACAAAATATCCAAACTGTAGTGGCATGGGTGTGTTTCTTAAAAACCACGATAAGCTCGCATTTTTGTGGACTAATCTAGCTCTTTTGGCGCCAAATTTACAAGGCAGATTTCATTTAGTTTGCAAACGTTTCTGAAAATATGGGAGCTTTTACGCATAATAACAATAGTGGGTCAATGAAAAAACAAAAATCCAAACACTTAAGTGGGTGGGGGAGCTAGATAAATATTTCATTTGACCCGGAGTAATCGGAAAACCCAGGCCGAAAATATTTCGGTGGGGCCCAATTAATTTTGATGATTTGATTTTATTCATATTTAAACTGTCAAATATCGTAACTGCATCATGTTTATTATATAAATAATGGGTTTGTGCATTTGAAGATCCAACCGATCTGGTGAAAATTGGGATGCTAGATTTTTTTTTAACATCTTTACTTTGTCATATTTTCCATTTAATTTGTTAATTTTTATATATATTACATTACAAACAGAAAGGTAACGCCGGCATTGGCGCCATTGCAGCTGGCTGTTTTTCGTTTAATTTCGTGTTTCTCTTTAACAGCAAGAGCACAATGCCGGCGAACGGCGTACTCACTACAGCGAAATTCGCGCTTTAAAAATTAGAAAACTTGCAAGCATATGAAAGCGAAGCTCACTCGCCGGCGTTTCACGGCGATATATTTATTTCTTTGGGTTCTGTCACACGGTCAGTATTTATTGACGTGATCCATATCGCAAAATTTCTAAAAAAAAATTTGAAATCTGGATCGCGGATCGCAATACCGTCAATAGATATTGAACGTGTAGCACTTTCAAAAATCTTGTACTCTCATAATGCGAACATCGAAAACTTATTCGCTCTGCCTTCACTTTCGGTGCTTAAAACCTTTCAAAATAAATAGAAAAAAATTTAATTAACATCGGAAATTTTAAAATAATTGTGAAATGCATTATCTACAAATTACACGTACAAAATTAAAATAATATTTTCTTGCGTCATAATAATCGTTCACCACAAAAACTATGCAAATACTGACGCGATAAATATTGAACATGTAGCATCCGTATCACAAATGATACATGTTCAATATTTATCGCGTCAGTATTTGCATAATTTTTGTGCTACACGCTTATTATATCACAAGAAAATATTTTTATTTTATACGAATAATTTACACGAATTAAATACTTTCAATTTGTTTTGAAAGGTTTTAAGCGCCAAGAGCGAAATGTTTTTGAAGTTCGCATTATGAGAGTAGAGATGTACTGACGAAATATATGGCGTTTTGAAAATGCCAAACGTTCAATATTTATTGACGGTATTGCGATGCGCGATTCAGATTTCAAAATTTTTAGAAATTTTGCGATGTGGATCACGATCCATCAATATTGAATGCTACACCGTCTATAAATATCGAGGTTAGGTTTGCCAGACTTTTTATGCGCGAAATCAGTACGTTTTACTTTTTCATGCTAAAAAATCGGTACTTTTCAGTACATTTTTATTTTTAAGTAACATAATAATTCAAAACGCCAGAGCACTTGTTTTTTAACAATATTTTTGTATATAAATAAAATATAGTTTATAAAAAATAAAAGTGTTATTCACTTGAGTGCACACATCATTGTACACAGAAGCTAATAAATTATTTTATATTTATGACATTTTCGAATAGTCATAATGAGATCATTTCCATCTTCAGTGTTTAAGTAGTCAAAGAAGTCTATACATTTCATTTTAAGCTTACTTTTAATTTGCAATTCACTTTAAAAAATTTCAATCAGAAGCCGGTTTCTCTGCACCACAAAGCAAACTTAATGATTAAGATCCTCTCGTTCCCACGACAGTCGGGTCTACGTAACCGGAACGACCCAGATTTATATCTGGCCAAGGACTGTCACTCCAGCACCACTCCCCAAAAAGTCTTTGGGGAGTTTGTATGCTGTTACAACAACAACAACATTAAGATCCTCTGCTTTGTTGTTGTTGTTGTGTTAGCAGCACGTAGTCCCCGAATTGGTTGGTTGTGATGGTCCTTGGCCGGAGTATCCGGGTCGATCTGGTGAACGTAGAACCGACCATCGTGAGATCGATCCTATGCTTTGTTGTTGTTGTTGTTGTTGGTGTTGGTGTTGTTGTTGTAGCAGCAGCAGCAGCAGCATACAAGTTCCCCAAAGAGTTTTTGGGGAGTGTTGCTGGAGTGACAGTCCATGGCCAAATATAAATCTGGGTTGTTCCGGTTACGTAGACCCGACTTTCCTTAAGATCCTCGCAGTTACTTTGTTTGAGTGTGGTATTAAAAAAAAAAAAAAAAACATTTTTTCAAACTGGTAAAATACCACTATTTAGAAACTACATCTTTAATTCCTCGTGGCTTAAATTAATTTTTTAAACTAAGAAAGAGTATCTTGCTGTATGTCTTGTATGCGAAACTCGTTTACAATATCGGTAAATTGTGAAAAAAGAATTGTAAGTTATAAACTGAGATATATTTTCGAGATAACTAGCAACACGTCAGCATTCTTTTTAAAAAATTTAAGCTCCATCATATCGCAACTGGTACGTAACGACCCGTCGGTATGCTCATAAAACGATTGATCTTTTTGTTGTATTAATATCTTGGGCATATCACACATTATTTGAAACATGCCAACTATAATTAAATTATTTTATTTTTATTTTTTACAGTACAGTTTAAGGAAGTTCCAGCGTTATGTAAAAACCTTAAGAAAATCCTTAGTATTTTGTTTGAATTGAAAGTTCAGTACAAATTTTGAAAAATCAGGACATTAGCGCACTGATTAAAGGAATGAATAAAATCAGTTGAAAAATCAGACTGCTAAAATCAGTACGTCTGCAAACGTAATCGCGATACTTAGATCACGCCAATAAATACTGACCGTGTGACAGGGCCCTATCGCTCTGCTGGGCGATGACGGCGGTACATGCCAAAGGTGGCTATGTTTTTTTTTTTTTTTAAATAGGGTACTCCCTTAAACTCGTAATCTCAAATCGCCCTCTTTGTGAAAATGTGTAAATAGGAGCGTGAAGAGACTGTTTGACTGATCAACAACACTTTGTTTCGTAGTATTTTCTCTAACAGCCCGCCATCTTGTCTATCACTATTGTCTAAAAAAAATTAAAAATGCCGAAAATCAGCATAAAACCCATATTAGTACAGTTAGTGGATGAAATTCATTCTTTTTATTCTGATATTACATTTTAGTATAAAATTTTCGCTCCTCGCCAACATTGAAGCTTACGAAGTGGGACGTGGTCGAAAAATTTGTTATGGTGTACAATTGAATTGAATTTTGCTGTGCCAAATTTCCCTTCTATCAATTGGCAAAAGCCCTAAGCAGGGGAAATAGCTGGGCGAACGGTGAGTCGACAGCATCCATGAACGAAAGACTCAAGATCACGCGGGAAGGAAAGAACGAAAAAAGTTATACACCCGTATGCTGTAATCCGAAAGTTCGTAGTTACGAATTCGTAGTTCCGTTCCGAAAATTCGAATCCGGTATGCTGTAATCCGATCGTAACTATCAACGGCGTTGCCAACTAAATTAGTGAAAGGCATAACGCATTTGAGTAAATAAGGTTCCTTCAATTTTTTGTTACAATTTACTCTTTTTATAGGAAAAAGCTACGAATCAGCTGTGGATAAACATAGTTTACCAGACTAAAGGAGTGGCTAAACGTGGCAATGCTAGCTCTTTTCTACGCATTTTGCTGTCAAAATGCGAAATCGAAAGTCTACTTTCCCGTGTTAACAGTCTGAAAGTCCTTTTTGCAGATTTGCTGAATCTGACTTTCGGCAATAAAAATTTCAAACTGAAATTACGCAAATCATTTTCAGGAAATAATTTCAACTTGCTCGTGCAATAAATGTTAAATTGTTTTGGAAAATGGTTTTTCATAAAAATTATTGGTTTTATTCCATATTGTTGCTTTGATACTTAAATGAAAAAAAATTTATACAAATTGATACATTTTAAGTCTTTTCTGCTACAATTTTTCACAAGCCCGCGGTCACACTGGTCAGAATCTGTCAGATTTTACTGGAAATCGATGCCGTACTCGGTTCTCTGACTATTGAGAGGACAAAAAAGAGAGTAAATACGGTTCTCTCTGTCAGAAGTTACCAGTCTTACCGCTCTATTCCCACAACACTGACAAAATTCATCATATGACTATTGTCACAATTACTGCGCTTAAAACACAATATAAACATTGTTTCGCCGTTGTCACTTACTCAGTAGGTCATAACAATAAAACTGACAATTGTCATACGACAGCTTAAAATAAATTTGCGGCATAGAAAGCAATCCCATGGTGTAATGAACTGAAGGTGGCGCATTCCCGAAGCCGCTACTTTGGTTTTGCCGACTTTGACGTTTATGGCAATACGTAAACAAACTTTTTGTTTAGAAACAAGTGCAAACGTATTGTGTACTTTCAAGTGAAAATCGAAGTAATTCGTGCGTTCTAAAGTAAAAAACGTTTTATTTGTAATAAAAACTTTATAAAAAGTGTCGTGTGTTGAATTGTAGCCGCCGTAGGAATAAAGCCACAGAATGCAGTTTTTTTCATTTTTTTTATTATCACTTTTTCGGCACCTACAATACAAACACAAAAATTCTAAATAGTTAATTAATAAGACCTATTCTTTTGAACACATTTCAGGAGTGGTTGTATATTTTTCGTTAACGTTGTGCTTAATTTGCTCTTTCAAAGATGGCTTGAGAAGTTGGTGAATCGTGAAGAAAACACGTTTTCTCACTGCAAATTCACAACTGTCAACTCATTGTTCTTCGCCATATTCTTTGTTTACCCGTTGCCATAAATGTCATTCTGCGGGAATGCGCAATATTGTATTCTATCGTTCTTGAAGCGATCCCATACTTTTCAATGTTACTCTCCCGCTCTGAGCGAATTTTTATTTTTTGGCTGTTTTACTAACTTTAGTCCGAGGAATAAGGGATTGCACCTAATATTTGTGCTTCTATTTTGACTCACATTCGCTCGTTTTTACCTTCCTTTTATTAGCTCGGGATGTAACTATGTAATATTGATGCGCCTAAAAGATGCAGCGATTTCTATTCTCAACTTACATACCTGATGACAGTACGAATGGCAATTATAATAGGGAGGTTTTAGTTTTTTAAACTACAATTTTATTTTTCGGGTAGCTTCTGTTTGTGTACATTCACATATACATATATTGCATTGATACATGTGTGCAGAGTTGATGTTGAGAATTATCAGTGAGTCGCAAAAAAGGGGTATTTGACGAAAAAATGGGTCACCATGCTTTTCTTTAAGCCCAGTATGCAGCTCTCAAGAAAACGGTCAACAAAAAATTGCCATTATTTCGTGTGTGTCCAAGGAATTTTGACATTTTTGTTACTTTACAGCCTGTTGCCTCACTCTTGCCTCAAGAAATAATGGATCGGGCATATATTTCTGTTGCAAAGCTGGGTTACCTTGTGCTCTTTTTTCACAAAAAACTTTAGGAAACCGTGGTAGAAAGCGTAGTAAATTTCTTAAGAACTGCGTACTGCCTTAAGGAAATTTGACTCAAGAAAATTTCTTAGCCATTTCTTGTACGTCATTTTATATGGAGTTATTGCTTTTCTTGAGAGCTGCATACAGGCCTTTACTAGTAATAAAACAAAACCGTTGAATTTAAAAAGAAAATAGCGGGACAAGCTTTAAACAAATCAGGGTTGCAGTCATGATCCAACTACACAAGATCTGACAAGATGAAGCAAAAGAAAAAAGTAATTTTCTGGCTGACGTTTGTAATTTCGGCGCCATGTTATTTTCTTTGAAAAGTAAACAAAGAATATGAAGACGAAGCACAAAGAAAAAATGCAAGCAATTTTGCAGCACTTGTTTGTGCTAACCAAATTATTATTTTGTACTCGGTTTTGCCATCAATCACCGCGCACTTCCTTTTAATTACATTTGCACAAAAAATTTATTGAACATCGCTTAAAAATAACTGAAATAAACCACCGATAAAATACACATAAAGAAAGAAGCAAAACAGAAATAGCAAGCTTCAAAATTACGAACGTCACACACTTTTTTCTCAATGTCTATTACAAATGGCTGCTTCTCAACCGGTCAGATCTGTTCTAATTGGTTCATGGGTTGCAGTATAAACATACATCTAGTTGCTGTAAGAAGAGTTGCATTTCTTTTAAAAGTTTTAAGTGATGCATTTTTTCGTAGGGGAAAAAGTCGCACATTATTTGGAATAGAGTCAAAAAATTAAAATTTTCAAAAAGTCTGGTCATAGGGTATTGGCGCTTAAAAAGGTCAAATTGGGCCTTTAGTTCCACCACGACAACACTGCCTGTTTGGCCAAACAGCCAATAAACTCGTGAACCAAAAATACAAGATAACGCGGGCAGGAGAGTAGCCCGTTAGAATCGCATTTAGGAAAAAAGTTTAACCATTTTGACATTAGCCGTTTGTTAACATTTCTTCGTTATTTACAATTTGGTGGTGGCTTTTTACTACAATTTTCTTCATTTTAGCCTTTGACCACGTGTGTACACATAAGATAAAGAATAATTTAACACAACGGTGTGATTTATAGAAGAATTCGCATAATAAAAATGATTCATGCGTTCAACAATTTCGCGGTTTTCTACGTTCTCTTCGTTGTTTACTTCTTGCAACAAAGATGGCGTCGAGATTTCGGCAGCTAGAAAATAACTTTTCTCTCTTTCCTTCCCGCGTGATCTTGTGTCTTTCGTTCATGCAATAAACTAGCAAAAGTGGCGAGTAAACAGCAACGAGTCAATAAAAGAGCTCTTCGACGCCGCAGTCCACTACGGTGCAAACGCAACTTCTCAGTCAGAGGCGTAATCTTGCCGCTAGCGATTTCTCATAGTACAGTTTAAATCAAGTATTTCCACCCATAGGTTGCTGAATTTATTCCGTTTCGGTGAGATTAAAAATATTGTTTTTATATAAACCTATGAAGTATTTGTGGTCGAAGTTTATTTAGTTTAAAGAAATAAAGCTGGATTTTTGGCGGCTGAAGCAGTACATGTGTTTTTAAGAAATCCTCTTCAAGTACATTCATTTGGTCTATGTATTGCTTAGAAGATAAGCAAAAGCGCGCGTAGTTTATTAATTTTTTCATTTTGAAGAATGCTACATATTCGCGCCTATCACTGAATCCATCGTAGTCCGATTTTCGTAAAATCTACGGCAATGCGATCTCTGAATCCAAATTATATAGTGAAGATATTGCTATCTCAACATATTATATGTATATTTATTTAATATTTGCTAAATTTGGCTTTATATGTTTACTGAATTATCTTTCTTATTACAGGCACAATATACCATTTTCAGTTTGATCTTAACATAAGCTCGAGAAAAAAACTATAAAAAAAACCAATATGTCTGACAAACCAAAGCGTCCTCTTTCTGCATACATGATATGGCTCAATAGTGCTCGCGAACAGATTAAGCGCGAAAACCCAGGCATTAAAGTCACTGAAGTAGCGAAAAGGGGTGGAGAACTGTGGCGTGCAATGAAGGACAAGTCGGTGAGTTTAAATAACATCAAGAAAACCGGCAAAATTTGTGCTGCTGATTCTGATACTAAAATTTTTTAACTGTTTAATATTAGAACTGTTCAGTGAGTGCACTAAAAATGTCCATTCCTTATCTTTTCTGACTAAAATCTGAAAAGGGTCAAAATGCAAGAGCGTAAGCAAAATGCGCTCACTAAAAAAGAATAACTGGAAAAGTAAAGGAACGTCAAAAACCAAATTTTTAGTCCAAAGAATGGCAACAACAAAACTAATGTCAAATAATATAAATGTATGTACAAAACACATTCACTCAAGCACAATAAACACTATATCAATAATTTTTTGCCTCCATTTTCAATTAATTTTTAGTTTTTAGGTTATTATCACTTTTCGTGTATTCTTTAATTTCCGTTAATTTAAATTGAGTTGAGTTTGACACTTTTCAAGATTTTTCCAGCTAAAATTCTTTTGCCTAACCCTGGTAGTCACTAATAGTGACATGGTGGTGAACTGGGATTTTGAGACTATTTGGTATTCAGTACGCTTTCTCACGTCTCTAGTCTCAAAAATAAGACTAATTTGTCAGCTGGCTAAGAGCAGGTCACAAAAAATAAAAATATGGAGGAAAAGATAATTTCTTCCATTTATTAAAAAAATTTAATTCCATTTTATTAAAAAAAAACGCAAAAATGGAGCCAGGAAATTTGTTCAACGATTTCATTAGAAAATAAACCAAAATTCTTTAATTTTCAATCATACAAATCCAATTTAAAAAAAATGATTTTTTGTTTTTACAACATTAAAATCAAAAGATTATCAAAAAAAAAAATACTTAATAAAAAAATAAAAAATCCTCTACGCTCGAAGAGGACTCGAATCCGGACCATCTCTACCGGCAGCCTAATGCTTTGACCATTCGGCCATTGCGTCTCTTCGGGCGGCGCGGGCAAAAGGCATACATAAACGCAATCAGTTGACTGTCTGTGTTTGTTTTCACCACACATTTTTGGTGAACTTTTTGTGACTCCTACTGAATACCCAAATCATCTCAAGTCACAAAAATAGTCACTAATTGCTAATCTTAAATTTAGTGACTTGATATGATACTGAATTACTGATCCCAGGGTAAATCTCACCTCTTCGGACTGAAAAGAGTCACAGTTGCTCTCTCATTTCTGTTGTCATTTTCAAGTTAAGACTTCGGACTATTTCTGGGAGATAAGGAACGCAGCTAAAGTCTAGAAGAGTGCTGAACAGAACACTATCTGACATTTAGCCCAGGTAAAGACATGCGTTTAGTGAAAGAAAAAACCTTACACTAGCGCACTCAACGAACAGATCTATTGTGAGCAGTAACGCCGTCCTGGCTATCGAGTAATCTGCTATATATATGGCTGAAGAAATAATAAAACCAGATAACCTAACAACCAGGAAGGGTGAATGCCCCTACATGCATTGACGCAATTTGAAGTATAATTTCGCAAATGGCTCAGTAGTACCAAAACTTTTAGTATTAGCGGCGATAATCTATATTCGTGTATTTTCTTCGTTGGATTTAGTGATGTCAGTTATGTAATATGCTTATTAAATATTGTATTTCTTTTGAAGGAATGGGAAGCAAAAGCGGCCAAAGCAAAGGAGGATTACGAGGAGGCGGTAAAAGATTTTGAGGCCAATGGTGGTAGCTCGGCAAATGGCAGCACAAAGAAGCGCGGTAAAGCGGTGAAAAAGCCCGCAAAAAAGAGCAAGAAGGCCGACTCCGATGACGAGGATGAGGATGAAGAAAGCGAGTAGATCAAACAAACTTTTTATTAATAGAAAGTATACAAAAATAAGTTCGGCTTGTTCATATGTAAACACCTCTGCCAATTCTTTCATTAATATTCATATAGTATATGTAAGCCATTGAAAACAATTTTGCACAAAATTTCAAATCAAAAGTAAAACTAAAGTGCAAGCGTCATTATCGTTCGTTTATATGCACACGCATTTAACGTATGAAAAGTATTTAGCTATAGTAAAAATAATATGCAAAGTAACAAAACAAAAACTTTTGCATTTAATTAAATATTATAAACGTATATAAAAAACGATTACAATTGAGAGAAATGCATAGTTATGTATATTATAAGTGAATGTTCTGAAAAGTCGTGAAGGAAAGAATAAAAATTACTTTTATATATGTGACTGAATATACAAAAATATTTACATTGGAGGTTGTATTAATGCGAATAAGTAAGGGTTGATTTATTAAATCAATTAGGGAATTGTCTTATAAACTTAGAAACAAAAAGGTAGATCCTGAAAATATTCATGCAAATTTTGAGTCCTCCATGATTTTTCCTTTTTAGGGAAATACAACTTATGTATATTTAATAAACATTTTAACTCTTCATATGCCGCACATGTAATCTTATTCGCAATGTACTTACGTATTTAACGGGTCGATTACGGATGGCAACCGAACTTCAGCTGCGTTGACGGGCTCAAACGCTATTACAGATGGCAACTGCATTTATGAGACTGCCGCGAAAACTTTTAATTGAGAAAATATAGGGATGTTCAGGAAATCGTGGAAATGGTCAGGGAATTGCATCTGCTTGCTACCATGGCAACCGTTTGTATTTTATTGTTGTGAATTTACAAATGCACCCACCGAAATATGCAAAACCATGATCGTATGCACAAGGTCCTTAATCTGTTTTTAAACCATTTCTGCAGCTTATTTACCTCCTAGTCTTGGTTACTGGTGCTTCAAAATTGATCTTCAACTTTATAGCATTTAATCACAGTTGATATCTATAATACACAGGCTGCATTCCAAAACGTCAAAATACAAAGCATCAGTCTCTTTTATTTCTAAACCGCACTAGAAGAAAAAGACTAACTTGCGCAACCTAGTTGAAAACTAGCATCTCACTGTGGTTGCGCACGTTTGGCATTTCAATCTACTGAGGTTTAGAAATAAAAGATACTGATGCTTTGTATTTTGACGTTTTGGAATGCACCCACATACGTCTCTAAATGCGACCCACAGTATTACTGCGAAGAGTTCCTCGTATTCACAAACTAGTTTATATAAATGCCTTATTCTAGCAACTTAGTTCCAATTCTGGGCTCGAATCCCTACGATATCGTACTACTTGTCACGTAAAATCAGGGCTCGAATCGTAACATACGTTATCGTATTACTCGTCACGTAAAAACACATTTTTCGGATTATGGCATACGTGAACGTACTCTTTGTCCCATTCAGCTTATACTGCCTGACGTATCACGTAATTTTCTTTCGTATCCTTTTCGATCCGTGAACGGATGTTACGATTCGAGCTCAGGGCTCGCATCGTAACATCCGTTTACGGATCGAAAACCATACGAAAGAAAATTACGTGATACCGTCAGTCCTAGAAGCTGAATGGGATAAAGAGTACGCTCACGTATGTCATAATCCGAAAACGGCGTTTTTACGTGACGAGTAATACGATATCGTATGTGACGATTCGAGCCCAGCATTTAATCATGGCTCGAATCATAACGTCCGTTCACGTATCGAAAACCATACGAAAGAAATTTACGTGATACGTCAGTGGTTCAAGCCATGATAAAAACATAGCAAGGTAGAACCGTTCTCTCAATTTGTCGGCCATGATTTTTTTTTTTGAAGTTTGCCAGCATTTTAAAATCATATAAAATTGAAAATAAAAAATTGAAATTATTCGAAATTTTTGTTGCTTGAGATTGAAAATGAAAATGTGTGTGTGAGTTTGTGAGTGAATTTAAAAATTAAAATGTTTGGAAACGTCAAGAATTTTAAAAGTAACTCTCAGCGGTTACTTTATCTTTATCATGGTTCAAGCTAGATGGGATAAAGAGTACTTACACGTTCACGTATGTCATAACGAGTTTTTACATAACGAGTAATACGATATCGTATGTGACGATTCGAGTCCATGTTTTTGCATGCTCATCAATTATAATTTAGAATTAAATGGCCAGGTTCTAGGTATATCGTATGATATATTGTTCAATTGCAGGATCGCCACTATATCGTATGATATATTGTTCAATTTAAAAATATTTATTTCTTGTTTGAAAGTTTGTTATTGAATCAAGGCACATAAATACAGGTAGAAGCCAAAATGACGCTGCTCTCATGAGAACCAAACCTTTAAACTTCAACCTGTTTTTCTTTTAAAAAAAGAAAAAAACATACAAGTAACAAATTTTAACTAAAGAAAATAAATAAATAAAAATAAACTTCAAAATTACTTAAAAACGTCAACCAGTGAAATTTAATTTTTTATATTTCCTTACACACGCTCTTTTTTTTTTACTCCCGAAAACTTTCGACTTTTGTAGGTTTGACGTCAAATTGGCTTCTACCTGTTTTATTGAACCATGTTATTGAATAATCAAAAATTTTCTTTTTGATAACAAATAAATCCATTGAACATAAAGAATTTAAACAAGTATAAAAACATATATGTAGGTAAAATACCCTACACTAGGCACGTAATAAAAGCGGCAATACTGCAGCACTAATGAAACTGGGATACTGTTGCAACTTCACAACTGATAAAATGTTACTTGAAATTCACACCGTACATCATACTTTTTATAATCCACGCAACACTGCGATGTGGTTACAACCGGAACAAAACGACCTGACCCGTAAATTTTCATTTCAGTGGCGATGCCCATTGTCAACCCAACTAAGGTTGCGTTGCTACCCATAATCTACCCAAAAAAAGCTAAGATTAGTTCATATACATAACTAATGTATCGACGTCAATGCAAAGATCTAAACATTTAGTAGTACAAAATGCATACTGATAACTCAGGGTATTTGCTCTTTAAAGGGGTTGTACAAATTTTAATTGTTCTATTACAAAACGCAATCAGGCAGGTTCTCACTCGGATGTGTATTGTAGAACCTGTCTGAAAAGATAATTGAGAAAAAGCATTGATTTGGTCATATAAATGGTTTCAAACAAGCAAAAAAAAAGATAAAAATTAAAATCACCTTTGATGTTCTATTTACTCATTGGAAAGTAGGGATTGAGTGGAATAAATGATCCTTTCGGTTTGAAACAAATTTTCAAAAATCGGTCAGAGTTAATTGCATTTTTTTTCCATTTATAAACTTATTACACTAATCTGAATATGTAGAACTATAATTGCACCTAAAACTCATAAAATGGAAATATTGGGTTTTATTACGGAACAAGCATCTTAAATTCACAATTCATATGTATCAATTTATATCTTGTGCCAAGAGTGTAATTTTACCATACTTAACTTTCCTTGAGATATATGTATGTAGATCAAGATGAGTGTACGAATACAAGGACCTCTATTAAAAGCAAATTTTAGTCAAAATAAAGCGTTGGTTTCAATATGAAAATTGGTATTTTTATATTACATATCGTGATGTTACAAATGCATATCGTCGATGTTTTTGCAAAACCGCTCATCGCCCAATTGCGAAACCGCGTATCTTACGGCACTCAAATTTTACAGGAGCGAAAAAACGGTTTATTCTTTGAAGGCATAGCCTTGATAGGCGGTATTTACTCTTGCTATTATTTTACAAATCTGTTGTTTTAATAACGATTTTTATGCATAAATCTCGATGCCTGGAGTTCAGGGTTACCAAATCTCATTTTTGCCACAACGGCGATTTAGGCGGTTTTGCAACTGGCCGATGGGCGGTTTTGCAAAAGCTAGCATAAAGGGAGCCTCTGAAAGAATTTTCTATTCTATTTATCGTGGAGTTCTATCCAAATGTCCGTTTGAGATGTTTTTGTCGTAATCGCGACATAAATGAGTCATGCTTCATCCTCCGCGATCGGTAGCCACCTTGCCGCGGTGCGGAGGCTTAGTTGCGCGAATGCATAGATGTTACAGTCAATAGTTGGATCAGTCATCGCGCACAAACTAAGAGCTACCGCCCCTTAACCCAGGGTGTCAAGCGTCACCGTGCCTATTGGGTATGTTTTGCAGCCAAGGGGTTAAAAGTAGGCTGTATTCGAACGGCGCCTCTCGGATACCTGTCCGCCTTCGGGAGTAACTGTGGACTTCCCTCGGCAAGGGGCTCTGTCTTGGGTGACCTAATTGTCCCCATTTTTAACAAATAGACCGACGAAACGCCCCGCCGGAGTAGAAGGTCGTACGAAAAAGATGAAATATGAATCGTAAAAACTATGCCTCGGATAACCAAAAAAGTATAATAGAAATTGATTTATGCAATGACTCAAGTGATGAAAGTAACTCGAACAATTGGACGTATAACAGAGAACGTCACCACGTTAGATCATCACAACAATTTTTTGCACAAAGCAGTAATCGCACCACTGCAAGGTTTGAGGAACGTCCTTTGACTCCTCCTCCACCTGTTATCTCATTTCCAGCAGATGTTTCACAAGTTAAAAACCGCCCTCCAAAAGTTGAAAGACCAAGACAAATATTATTAATGGACAATCCGCCACCTCCGCCAATTTTTTCATTTGAGCCCGACAGTCTTGCAGATAGATTTCGAGAAAATGATACACAAAATGTTGAAAATGATAACTTTTTTTCTGAACGGGGGCAAACGAAATCAATAATTTGTCCACCGTCTACGTCCCCGCCCTCCTTCTCATTCAACCGCAATACTGATGGCATCGCATATAAGCAACAACCGCCACAAGAAAAAAGAACTTTGGAAAATGTTAAATCTTGGAAAAGCAAACAAAAAGCGAACGCTTTAGATTCTTCAAATACGATGGAATCGAACTTAACTTTGACTATAGTCGATGAAGGTCCCAATCGCCGACGTTTAGGCCAAAAAAATTGGTTGGAAGTTGAAAGCGCACTTTGCAAGGTTTACCTGGATATAATGCATGAGAATCCTGGCCCGCCTCCAGTCTGTCGCGTTGTTGGTATGTTTTTAGGTTGTGCAAAGGTTATTGGTTGTGCCGATGAAAGATCGCAAAGACTTTACAAGTTAGCAATAAGTCGGTTGGGTGCAGTATGGCCAGGTGCCAAACTAAGGATTGTCAATCGAAATGAGATTTCCACATCCGCTTTAAGGTTGCGATGCACAACTTTTCTGCCGGCCGAGCCCTCATCTTCCCAAGCAATTTTGGATTGCATTCAAAAGTTTAATCCAAATTTGCGAACAAACAAATGGAGCATAATAAATGTCGGTGCACCTAGTCGTATAAATAAGGAACGGCATGTCGTAATGAGTGTCGACATTGAATCGTTGCCAGTTATTGAGCGACGTGGTGGAATTTTCAGCTTTGGTTCTAGGCCAATTAAAGTGACGGTTAATAAGCGCGATATTCGACGAATGCAGCTAATTCAAGAAAACGATAGAAACTTTTTATCCAAGTTATCCACAAGCAGAAAACGACGCTGGTCAGAAGTAGAAGCTGATGAAGAGAATGAGGTTGATGATGATGATTCCGAAACGGATTCAGAAGATGAAGACTACGAGTAACTGGGGATAATTTCTTCAAGTATCGTTTACTCACAAGCTAAGGAAAATTTAACCAATTTGAGGAGTAAATGGAATGGGTAAATTATGGGAAAATTATGTAGTTTTAATATGCTATTAAATAAAAATGCATGTAAATTAAAATTTTAATTTTTATGATAGTAGAGGCATCGATGACTTCGAAAGGTTAGTATAAGCAAAATTTATCAACAACAACGTGATTTATGGACGTCCCTTTTTTAACTAATAACTTAGTAAAAAAAAAGTATTTCAATCAGGATAGCTCCGATAAATTTCGATGTTTTTCAACATTTTATTTTTAATGCAGGAATGCATCTATATGCTCTAGGAACAATTTTGCATCGATAATAAAATGTAAAAAAAAAAATTCACTTACATCTGGTTGGCGGTTAGTGCTCGATTTGTTTTCCCAAAAAACAGATAAATACATATATTTTTAACCGACTTCCAAAAAAGGAGGAGGTTATCAGTTCGTCGGAATATTTTTTTTTTTTTTTTTTTTTAATGTATGTTACCGCATAACTTTGTACCACGTCAACCGATTGCGATAATTCTTTTTGCATCGGAAAGGTAGTGTCTCAGAGGTGGTCCCATACAAATCTGATTAAGATCCGATCAGTGGATCATGAGATATATATATATATATTTTTTTAATATGAGAGTTGAAGTCGGTTTTTTTTTTGCTAAAAATTACTTGTTCATTATCAGTTAAGTGGGGGACACTACCAAATTTTATCTTCGTTTCCCAAGCTCATCTTGTTTGAAGTAGGAACCGATGTACATACATATGAATTTTTCATGTTGTTTTTTTTTGTAGCGGCTACAACAACCGAGCCCAGATCGGTTAGTCCCTCAATCGTTTTCGTCGAGATTTACTAACGGCAGCTCTAGGAATCGTGCAGCCTCGACGGGGTCTGTCCATAGGGACAGGGGCGTTAGCGTGGTTGGGATTTAGAGGGCATACGGAGAGATGCTGTGAGTAATGGGGCGACTCCGCATGCCGAGCATTCATTGAGAATATCTTCGTTTAATCTGCTCGGGTATGAATTCAACCTGCTGCATTAACCAGAGCGCAGTTGGGCTATTGAGACGAAGTTCTGTCTCGTCCACGTCTGGGGGTTGTGGTGCCCAAAAAGGTATTCACAGGTCGATAGTCTACATAACTCGAGACTGCCTCTCTATGAATGCCGTTCAAGGCTTGTCGATAAGCTGTCGCGTCCATAGGGTGTTTGATGAGCCTTAGTTATTTAAATGGGAATTCTTTAGATTAGCAGGTGAAATATGATCAAAATAATGTAACTGAGTTGCAGCTTCCTTTAAATTTTCATTTTATTTAAATCTTTGTCACACTTTAGTTAGCTCTTGAGAGATTTATGAGTCTAAGGTTCTAAGATAAAACACAAGACAATGAATCGTATATAGAAAACTCAAAATTGATACATACGTAACTAAGAACGTTTCAAATTAAAGTAACTATTGATATTGTAAAATAACTATTGATTATAAATTTGGTATGAAATTGAATACGGGCGCAAGCCTTTTTTATCGCAAAGCCAAAGTTGTTTCAAAGAATATCCGAAAATTTATTTATAAATAATTTAATATGGACAACGTTTAGCGTATTTTTCTAACTATGTATGTATGTAAATAGTTCGTATATTCTCTCATTTTAACATATTTAACAATTATATGGCAATAAAATAGAAAGGATAATGAAAACCTTTAGAACTAAAAATAGACTTACAAATGGAAATGCTATTTCAGTTAAAACCCGTATTTGCGTAACATAGCAAAACAAGTCAGAAATAAATCACGTTAAATAGTTTTTTAAATTCTACTATTATTGGTGTTAAAAATCTTTCAAATGTATTAAAATATAAGCATGCATCGAAAAAGTTAAAAGTAACTAAAGTGTTAAATCCTTAATATCCAAATTGTGTTCTCTATGAAACAATCAAATAGTCGTCACACTGGTCACTTTCTTTTTATTTCGATATATGCTTATAAAAATGAGAGTATCGGCATAATTTTTAGACTAATAAAAATCAAAGTGTTCAAAGACAATTAGATTAAATTCAAATACACACTTTCTCCATCGCATAAGCATACATCGAAAAAGTTAAAAGTAACTAAAGTGCTAAATCCTTAATATCCAAATTGTTTTCTCTATGAAACAATCAAATAGTTGTCACACTGGTCACTTTCCTTTTATTTCGATATATGCTTATAAAAATGAGAGTATCGGCATAATTTTTAGACTAATAAAAATCAAAGTGTTCAAAGACAATTAGATTAAATTCAAATGCACACTTTCTCCATTGGTATCAATACCAAAACAGGATGATCAACGTTTTTATGTACTCCTGAATTTCAAAATGTAAAAATACAGCGCAAGTCTTTCATTTCTAAACCACAGCAGATGGGACTGACCAATAATATTCACAACCAGGCCGCAACGCTAGTTACTAGGTTGTGCAAGCTGGTCATTTTAGTCTGCAAGAATTTTTGAATACAATAAACTGATGCTATATATTTTTTTTTTTTACATTTTGGAACTCAGGGTAGGTATAAATAAGTGCATCATTTGCGCTACGTTCCCTCCCAATAAGATGTTTCGTAGTTTACATCCTCCGTCAATCCCTAATAAATTGTAACGATTTTCAAAATACTACGAAAATGCATGGCAAACTGATGTGTCGCTGCTGCACTTACTTCTGTTGCGTTTAAATATTGCATAAGCTTCAATTACGATTTAGCCAAAAGACAGCCTTCAATACAAAGTATGCTAAGCCCAAACAATATACGATTTTTTCGCGCTGTAGACGCTGCTCATTGTTGATTTCGATGTTCAGCACGCGACGATTTAGTTTAGCCAATTGTCGGCGCAAATAGAGAATCTCCTCGTGGGGTGTAAGTTCTCCTATTGGCGTGCCTTCGCGATGACTTACAATAGATGTGTCATTGTTGTTGTAAACTATCTGCTGCGAACGCTTGCGAACGCCAGTAGTCAACTGCAACAGAAAAGAATTAGTTAAAGCATTTTCTTTTAATGTGTGGTTTAAAGCACCAGCAAATCTTTTAAAGCGATAACTTTCAAGCTGTTCGGCATGTGATTACGCTTTTTAAGTTAACCGCAATAGGGAGATTTAAAGTGTTAGCAAAATATATTTTATAGCAACTGACAATATATCAAATTTGAACAAAACTTTGATTGAAGTTTACTTACCTGCGAGTCCGATTCCACAGAATTTGAATCGGCTGGGTGAAAACCGAGTTGTGCATGCGATACACCGTTTGCACGCACATAAGGTGGCGGACGTGACTCAACGTCTTCATCATAGTCGCCATCTTCAAAATCGCCACCATTACCGTAACGATGAGGCGAACTTTCCTCAGAAGCAGAGGGGAAGTGATGTTCATTGAGTGTTATAACACGCGGTGGTGTTTGTACACGTACCATGCTTACTGTCGGATTCTTTGGTAAAATTGAGTTTTCCAGTTGTATTTCACGTGGTGCCGAACGAGTCTCTAGATGTTGATTGTGACCCAATACCACTATGCGATCTGGTACGTTCATGTCAATCTTATCGTGGTAATTCCACGAATTTATTAATCCATTTTGATTGGATAGCAATAAATCTTCGTCAGAGAATTCTCCTGTAGCTTTTATGCGCTTGGGAACACGCATCTTGTCGTTTATTTCATGTGCAAATTTGGCTTCATTATATATATCTTCATCCAGGCCATTGAACATACGGGTGGGAGATTGAGGTGTAGCCATTGTAGACAACTGACCCTAGAGTCTATTTCTGTTCTTGGCAGGCTCGACTTCCTGCCTGACGGCCAACTTTGTACAAATTATGCGAACAAAACTTCGTACAAATTTCTCCAAGATTATATCACAATTTTCAGTCGGTCCTGCACTTTACACAATTCTTCACTTATGTTCCGTTGGAATTTTTCAGAGCGGTATTGCTGAATTTTACAAAGGCACGTACAGGCGGACAGGAAGTAAAATCAAGTTTGGAAAAACAAAAGAAATTTTTAGTTTGACGGATAACGTACAATTTTGTATATGCTATTGAAACAAATAAAAAGTTCTAGTTTTCAAGAATGTAGTTTTTTCTGCTTACTTTAAAATCTGAGTAGAAGAAAAAGTATGAGGAAAACAATTCGGCAAATTTCCTCTTTTTTTTAATTCTGTATTGCAACCGAGAGTTTATTAGAGGTGGGTAACTCAACTCAGAGTTGAGTTATTGAGTTGATTCCTATAAGTGAATCGGTAACTCAGACTCCCTGTCCAAAAAAAATGTAACTCAGTAACTCAGTTGATGCCGTAGGGCTCACATGAATCAATTGAATCATAGTGGCTCATATTTGTCCATATAACTCTCGCTTCGCCACAGTGTTTAGCATGGCAAAGTCTTGCATTTTGTTTTTGCACGAGGCGAATTTATACAAGGTGGTGGCAAGAATACAACAACAACAACCACATGTATTTTGTATTGCGGGTGTTATGTCAAATCTCACCAATTCTTATAATTTCGTTTTTTTTTTTAGTTTTTCTCGAAATATGTATGTATGTAAGATATATAAAGATGTGCATATCAAATCAATTGCCTTTGCAACCATATCCACATTTTGAAATTCGGTACAATAGGTTTCGAAATATAAGCTTTTGAAAATATTGAAAATTCCACCTTTACCCCCCTAGCACCGCCCTATTAATTTGCACACAAAAAAAATTACACCTTTCAAATCAGTAGAAAGGAGCTGACCACGCCAACTTTAAAGCTTTGTTTTATCTCAACGGCCGCTATACCGCATCTATGCCTCAAAACGAGTCTACGATACGAATGAGTGTAACATACAAAGAGTCAAATGAGTTAGTTGAATGAGCTGATTCCTTAAAGTGAGTTGGAGTCATTGAGTCAACTCCTATAAATTTGCTGAGTTACCCACCCTTAGAGTTTATTCACTTACGAAATGCAGTTTATCTGACAGTTCAATCAAGCTGCCAGAAATACCGAATATCTATTCATAATAGGTTCATTCCTTATCTCTTTGGACTAAAATCTGAAAAGTGTCAAAATATCAGAGCGTAATAGGCTGTTTTTGCTTACGCGTAAAAGCACATTTAGCGCATTTAGCTCTAAATGCTACTCTAAATGTACATTTATCCATACAAAATTCGTCACCTAAATGCAACTAAATGCAACTCCATTTTTGCATTAAGAATCTAAATGCTAAAAGCAACCGTGTGATCTAAAGTGGCAACATTGCTTTTTCGAGTATACAGTTGCTAGCTGCGTTTCAGTGATCGCCGATCGAGATTTCTTTTATTTTGCATTACATACTTGGATAAAGAAAAGTTAAGCAAATTCAACATCGATTTGATGCTGATAGAAATCTGGATCAATTTGTGATCAACTCAGTTTGGTTTGTTTCCTAATTAAGTGAGGAAATTTTAATTGACAGCACCGACAAATGAATATATACACAAACAAATGTTCGGTTATGGTTAAAACAATTCATGTTTTTGTATTGAATTTTTGGTTTAAAATTAATTTTTTCCTTTTCAGTAGGGTTTTTGCACATTATCTTCTGCGTGAGAATTGATCGTAAGATATACGCATCTAAATAAGAGACTGGAACACGGCTGTTTGTCAAAAGCATACGATTTCGAACTCGCGTAAATGTACATTTGCTAAATGCTATAGCATGAGCGCTCTTCGAAAACATATGTTCGAAAGTGCTAAATGTTGCATTTTAAATGCAGCAAAAACTCTGCATTATGCACATTTAGCACTTTCGAACATATGTTTTCGACAGTGTTGCCAACTTTTCATTTTCAAAAAGACCAAAAACTTGCAAAAAAAGCGTTTTACCACACTAAAAGCACCAAATGGTTTTGAATCAATGGATGCTTTTTTCATAACAGTTTGTATGCATTTAACAAAAACAAAAAATTAACAATATTTACAAGAAGGCATACATAAATCAATAAACAAAATTTGTTCGCTCATAACGATTGAAAAGCCACATGCTATAATGACTCATGCTTACGACATAATACCGAAGTACTGCACATTAAAACTGATATATCTCAGGAAAGAAAAATCGAATCCCAACAAATGAAAATCATGCCCTAAGTAGAAATGAGCAAACAAAATTTATGTTTTCATTATATAACCTCAAATATCGTCAAAAACCGTGATTTTGGCACTTTGAGGTTAGGATATCCCAAAATTCTAGTGCTAGAGCAATTTTTTCTCAAAACCAGTTACAAATACAACGTCGCGTTCTTACGTGATCTTGTATTTTTGGTTCATGCGCTTCGGTCATTGTCCATATATGCATTCATACATACTAATTCGGTTCTCTAAAGGAAAGTAAACAAATTTATAAAGGTATTCCTGGTCGTTAAATAATGAAATTAATAAAATTAAAAATAGATAAACGCTAAAAGAGCTTAATTTAGTTGGAATGTGTGTTTTCTTGTATTTGTTTGAAATGGTTTGTTATCGTACATTTTGTTAGGTGAAATTTTCAACTTTAACAACAAATTACTCGTAAACTATGAATTTCCTCGCCGTCTGTTTTCAGTTTTGTAATGTGCCCCCCCCCCCCTCCCCCCCCCCCCCCCCCCCCCTTCTCACACTCTCGCGAAGTTTCCTCCACTTTTGTAATATTTCAATTCATTTTTGTTAAATCCTTTGCGTGAACTTCTTTTTCTCAACTTAAATTTTCTAATTCCTATAGTGTATACAACTCGTTTATCTTACTTTGGCTAAGGACTTTTGTTTTAAGAATGTGTTTCTTATTTGAATGCTAAATGGGAAGAATTAAAAAGAGTGGCACCTTTTATGGCACTTTTATTTATCTTTTTGGCACATTTTGGCCTATTTTATCCTCAGTGTGGCACTTCGTACCTAAAGGGAGCTGGCAGCCCTGCGCAGTGCTCTTTTTCACGGTTGCCACTGTTGGTTGTCTCCAACCAAACTTGGTTGTTTTTCTTTAATTTTTCTAATTTGGTTGTTTGGTAGTTTTTTCTCTGGTGTGGTTTTTTTTTTTTTTTTAACTAGAAATTACCACATTTATTATTTACAAAAAAATTTCATTTAAAAAACCTGGCCTCAAAGAGCGTGTGTGAATCGGTAACAAAGTTCGCGGCGAGTAAATTCTTGACAACTATGAGGTGAATAAAATTTCAGTAGCTCATGAGCAGAGGTGGGCACTACCACAAACAAGCGTGAGCTTAAAGTGAGAGTGTGTTAGTGTGCCTAATTCATTTTGCATGCTGTCGTGTTCTCATCGCTGCGCTCTCGCTTGTATACGTACACGCGACGCTTACGCTCTTTTAGCACCTGCTAACTCTCTGCCCATGCCTGCTCATGAGGCTACTGAAATTTTTGACAAATGCATAGAAAATTTTGACAATCGCAAAGATTGTTGATGTGAGTAATTTTTCGTTAAATAAAAGCTTAAATTGATGAATTGCAATCAACGATGGTAGATGTTTTCTTAAAATACTAATTTCAATTCAAAATATAATATTTTATTCCTCATAAATCTGCGGTTAGCAAAAATTTACTGCTGTCAAAAAAGATTTCATTTCACACAGCAGATTGGCAAAACTGTCGCACCATAGTAAAAATATATTCAACAGCTTTCCCCATAGAACTTTCTTACCGATTCACACACGCCCAAATTGTTGAATTTTGTTTTTTTGTGATAAGTTTTGATTTCTGTAAAAGATAAGTGAATAACAAATTCGGTAGTTTTATTTTTCAATTTGGTTGTTTTTTCTTCAGATTTTGGTTGGTTATTTATATAACCAGTGGCAGCCGTGCTCTCTTTCTCTCTGTCAAAAAGCATTTGCTATCAGAGTTGCCAGATGTGACGATTTCGCCCCATTTTGGGGATTTCTGAATCCATTTGGTGATAGATTTTTTCGTGTGGGGATGTGGGGATTTGATGGGGATTTTTGTTTGGTTTAAAATATTCATATTGAAATTAAAATACATATATTTTACTGGCTGCCCTTAAGAATTTCTCAAACAAAGATTTTCTTTGTCAAAGTATTATTCGTGGAAAATGCCTGTTTTATTGGCATTAGCCATTGTTGTTAAATAGTCTCCAAAAACCATAAAAAATAAGAAACCGCTATACGTAAATAACCAAATGATCTCATAATATATATTATACAACTGTGAAAATTTGTAATATAAAAGTATTCAAAACTGTAATTAAAACGAAGTAACAGAAATGAGAATACATATTTTTTTTATTTCTTACTTAAGGGGATTTAAATGGGGATTTAGAAGAAAAATGGGGATTTTTTGGGGATAACTGCGGCTCGATATGGAAATGCGCTATACACAAATTCTGGCAACACTCTTTGCTATTTCCTCTCCCTATCGGCGTCTATTCATTTCATTTCTCATAAAAGTCGGAGCGGCATCACTCGTGTTCAAAAATTCCTTTCTAAAAATTGGGCTAAATTATTGGAAATCTAGTTTATTGAAAAAGTATTAATGTACACAGGCTAAAATTATAAAAAAACAAATAAATTACCTTATTTGGTGAGTGAAATTCGAGTGTTTAAGAGGCATCGAGAGAAAAAAAAACTTGGGGGTGCCGCTTGTGTATGCAAACGAAAACAAAATGTACAGTAACGTCGACGTCGACTCCGAGTTGCGCGCGAAAAATCGTTGCAGAGGCCAAACAATCGGCCAGAATAAAAAATATGTAATTATCTATTTGTTTTCTATTCCCATTTGTTATAGAGCTAAAAGAAGATTATACATATCAACGACAAATACATATAAACAAACAAAGCAAGTGCAATGGAGGGTCGTCGCACTAGCGGACGTCGAAAACGTAATGAAGAGCCGGGAGCAGCCTCTACCGAAAAGGTTAGTACTACAAGTACGCATATCAATGTTTCCAACAAGAGAAGTTCGTCAAAAACAAATGTTTCTCCTCCGAGGCGAACCTCACCTGGGCGCACACGCCGCTCATCGCGGCCACGTGCGTCAAATTTAGCATCAGCCCCGTCTACGACAACAATTTTGATTAGGTCGTCTCCCGTATCCCATCCCTCTCCCATCAAAGAGGTAAAAGAGGTGAGTTGTAAAATATAAATCTATTTTAATATGTACTCAAATAAAATTCTAATTTACATATCATTAGACACCTTCACCAAAAACGACCGCATCCAAAACCCGAATACCCACTGCTGTTGGTTCTAATATCAATACAGCCGGTAGAAGTTCGCCGCGTTTCACAACAAAGTCGACGTCTTCATTGCACAGCACTTTTAGCAGCAGTAGCACCCAAAAGACCTTTGAGATACGTTCGACTACCTCAGCATTGGACGCTGAGTTCAAAAAGTTGTCAGATTATATAAGGCGATCTGTTTCAAAAACGATCGGAGGTGTTAGACGCGAAGGCACACACACTCCGACTACAAACACTGAAGTGGAAAGTCGTTATAGTCGCTCTATATCGCGGTCTATCTTTGATGATGGCGCCTCGTCCAAGGCAGAATTTTCTGATAACGAGCCAAATGATCCCGCGGACGAAGATGACGAAGAGGAAGGTACAGAACACTATAAAAGCTTCAATATAAGCACCCAGCACTCATACTCGACTTCAGCACTGGGACAAAATTGTCGCCAACTGGAGATACCAAAAGAATTTGGGGGCTGGGCGGGTACGACATTACTAATGCTATTGGTACCCTGTATTGTTTATTATTTGCAATGGAGTTGTCAGAAAAACGTGTGCGAGTTGAGATGGCCCAAGTTCGAACTTGATTCGTTAGGAAAAAGCACTCTCTGGAAATCGATATTCAACAATGAAGCAGTTGCTGCATATATCTCTTTTCAGCTAGGAGTATTTGTGCTCTCCGCATTGTTATTTGGTCGATATGTTCGACTACCGACTGATCGAATTAGCGGTATTGGTGGTATACAATATGGCGCTGAATATAAATTTAATGTTTTGCCTATTGCAATCGTAATTACGTTGGGAGCTGGTTGTGCAGAGTATCTGAATTATCCATTGGCTACCTTCGTACTAGAACATCAACTACGATTTTGTATATATGGATTTATTAATGCATTCATTTTATCATTATGGGCTTACTTACGATCGGACATGTTAAAAAGCAAATCGACCCAAGTACAGCTTAATATTTACGGTAAAACTGGCAACTTTCTAGTTGATTATGCACAAGGCAGGCAATTAAATCCCAAATGGTTAAATTTGGTTGAGTTTAAACTGGTATTTTATCGTGTCGCATTACTATCAACTCTGCTTTACGCCGAATGTTATTTGTACAAACAATTGTCGCTGACTTGGATACCGGTAAATGAAGGTGGAATTTGGAACACTCTGTCATATTATTATGACAATGTGCGGTATGATAGTGCAGCGTTGCTTTCTTCGGGCATGCTTGTAGTCTATATAATGGATGCTATTATTTTTGAGCACCATTTGGCTTCGTCATTTGAAATGCAAGGAGAGGGATTCGGAGCTTTGTTGCTATTGCGCTATGCAGCTACACCTTACTTACTGACCGCGGTAGCACGTTACTTCTACGAGCAAAAACATAGCAGTTATCGACAATCGACTACACCACTGGTTTGCTGTTTTGCTGGTTATGTATCTATGGCAGTTCTGATTACTGGTTTGTTACTTAAACGTATAAGTAGCGCTATCAAATACAAATACCGCGTAAGTCCCTCAAATGCATACTTTGTCGGCGTCGAGACCATACACACTTTCCAGGGACGTCGCCTATTGCTCGGCTCGTTATGGGGCCGAATACGTCAACCTAATTACGCCGGAGATTTACTTGCGCTGTGCGCTCTTGCTTTGCCTCTGTTTCTTCGCTTCGCTTGGCCACCGCTGATTTGTATACTTCTCTTATGGACCGTATTGCTACATCGCACACAACGTGTGCAAGTGCGTAACATGTCACGCTATCATTCATCATGGGTGCGCTACTGTAACAAAGTGCGATATTATATCTTGCCAAAAGTCTATTGAACAGACATACATACACATCCATATGTAGAAGTGCAATGAGATTGCAAATAGGCCAGCAGGTTTTTATTTTACAAATCTATAGTGCATAGAAATTATGAGTACAAAATTAAGGAATCTAAATTATTTTAAATTGGTTCATTCGTCGACCTTATCACGTGTGGAAGTAATTATAATACTACATAGTAAACAAAACAACATTACATTATTCTGGAAAAAAACAAGAATAATGTCTAGTTCTTAAATTGATATTATCTTCTATTTGACTAAATTTATCGTATGTATATATTAAAAAAAATTGTAGTATAATCGTGAAAAGGGCAATTTTATATGAAACAGTTCATATTTTTATATGCTTGACATTAGGAGACATGTTTACACAATTAAGTGTTTAATAAAATAATTATAACTTACATACACAATTACCAGAGAATATGAACGTCAAAAAATGCGAAGGGGGAGATTTTTTAAATAAAACTATAAATCGCTCAACATTCATTCCCTTATACATACTTCAAGGCGCACTTACAACTTCAATTAATATGCGTTCATATGCATATTCTTTGCACGAATTGATAATGCAAAGTAACTTTAGATATATACATACCTAAATATGTATGTATATACTCACAAGGTATATATTTCCATTGAATAACGTAGATTATTACTAAAAACTTTTTGATCTTGGCTAGCAATATAAAAGATCTGGTATGTGGAAAAATGATCAATGTCACAATGTTTATTGTAAAAATTTTGATTTGTGTTGATGTGTTTTGATTCCCCCCTTAAATTGTATAAGTCTGCAAAATTTAGTATATAATATAAACCAATATTTTTACTTATAAAAAAGTTATTTTTATTTCTATTAAAATTACAGATATTTATGTATGTGGGCTTACTCGAGTTGCAATCACAACCGCAGTGTTGCGCGAATTATTAAAGTATCACGTTCTGTGTGAATTTCTAGCAATGTATTACACTAGTTTACACGAAAAAAGTACCTCGATAAAAAGTGCTTTCTAGCTTAATTTGGGGTCGCTGAAAACGAAAAAGACACACGTTTATTTTTCTCAAGAAGCGTTTTTGCGATTTTTGTAAAAAACCTGTTTTTCGTGTCTTATTCCAGTTTTTCACCAAAATCTCCGAGGGAGTTAATGTTATGAAGCAATGACAAATTTTTAGCAATATGTCATTATTGGTAATCTAGTGATTATTACTTTCACAGCAGCCGTTCAAAGTTAAAAAAATGGTAATTTTTTTAGCTGTTTTGGAAATGAATGAGGTTTATTGACTTTTTCATAAGAAAAAAATTTTAATGCAGATATATATGATAACAATTTGAAGACAATTCTGTCACATACAATTTAAGCTGAATATTGCTTCGATCGAAGAAGATATGTAGAATTTATGACGCTTAATGTAAATACAAGCAATTCGAGGTTTTTAACATTTTCACACTTCAGGTCGAAAATATGATTTTTCTGTCAAACTTCTTCGTTTGTGTTCCATTCTGTTTTTTCGAAGTTGCATCCAACAATAGTCGCCCATCATTGCCTGATCCCAGAAACCTTCATACCGCTTTTTGATAGTTGCAATGTCCTGGTGAAATCTTTCTCATTGTCCGTCGCTCTCAGCTCCCAAATTCGGTGGAAAAAAGTCCAAATGACTATTGAGCAGGTGCATTTTCAGAGACACTCGAGCACCTGTAATAAATAAAATAATGTACAAAATATTATTAAATAGTTTTTTCTTAAAATAATTATTTTACTCCATGCAAGGTATAACCGTTGATATATTTAGGTATAAGTCACTAAAAGAAAATTGCATAGAATTTCACAAACTTACATTTAACCTAAAAATACTTCACACTTTACGCGCTTGAATGCGCTTAATCGTACAAAACATATGGTGCATACAGAGTTTGGAGTCCAATGTTTATCCGAATTCTTGGCTTGAATTCCAAAATACTGTTCATAAGCAGTTAAAATGTTTGTGGTTATTTTTTTCCGAGCACTTTGTTTGAATATGTACAAACCACAAATAAAGCAAAACTTATCCGGTGAGAGATTGCACATTTTGGGCTTTTTCCTTAGAGCAAAAACGTCAGAACACAAAAGGAACAACTGTCCAACAAAAATACGAAACGAAATCCGATGACTTTTTTCAACTACCTAACGGGGCAGGAAAATATAGCGGATGTTCAATGTCGCTCAAGCAGTAACGCATTTTACCGACTGGAGATATTTCTGTTCCCCCGTACAATGTTTACTTTGATTCAGCATATAAATTAACACAAAATAGACTTTTTTTTGTGTTTTTTACCATTTTGGTAACATTCCATGGATATGGATTCAACCCCAGCCCTGCATCATAATTTATTTCTGTGTAGGTGTAAAAAAGGGAAATTTGAATGTCAGAAGCTGAATATGCATCATTTTACAAAATACGTTATAACTTCAACATTTTTCGTCCGATTTAGACAATCTTTAGATTTATTTGTTTGTTATACAATTATTTTGAACTAAAAATTTCATGTATCGGACAAAAAATTTTTTAATCAATAGTAAAACGTCGATAAATTTCAATAATTTCCAAAGAAACCTCAAAAACTGGCAATTTTTTTAACTTTGAACAGCTGTTATGGAAGTAATAATCTCTAGATTACTAATAACGACATATTGCTGTAAAGAGGAGGTTGGTACCTTTCTAAAAATTTATATCATTGCTTCATAACATTAACTTCCTCGGAGATTTCGGTGAAAAACTGGAATAAGACACGAAAAACACGTTTTTTTGCGGAAATCGCGGAAACGCTTCTTCAGAAAAATAAATGAGTGTCATTTTCGTTTTCAGCGACCCCAAATTGTGCTAGAATACACTTTTTTTTATCGAGGTACTCGTTTGAAACTTAAAATTTGTAAACTAGTGTTATCAGTTGGGCAGTTGCAACAATGTTGCCATTTTTCATCAGTACGGCAGTAATGCCGCTTTTATTGCGTGCCTCGAACAGGCTCTGTATGTATGTATATCGCTAGTTTACTGGGAAAGCTTCATAACTCAAAAAGAAAAGTGCGATAAATAGCGTTAACGTTTTTAGTTCGGATTTTCGCAAAAATAGACAGTAGTGAGGCGTATTCTTGTTTTCGTGCGAATCGAAAATTTGAAATTCTTGTGTAGAGAATTATAGGAAAATTTCGTGATTTTCGATTCGTACGAAAACAAGAATATGCCGCAGTATATCAAATAAAATATACAAGAAGTATATTAAAATTAAGTGGAGAGGATAAAGTTGTCGAATATTTGGATTGGCTCTTTTATTGGCACTGTAACCCCCTAAGCGATTTTGGTCGTGTCTAAAACAGCACGGCAGTCGTTTCTCGTGGTAGTCGTGATAGAGTGATTCTTTTCGAATCGAATGAGACGAAGTGGCAATTTCTATTCGAGTTACGTTCGATATCGAATGCCGCGATTCGGGCCCTAGCTACTGCGGCAGGTTAAACTCTTACCTGAGCAGATTAGATAAAGATGTGCCCGGCAAGCGGTGAGACACCCCACGCCTCGGGGCATCTCTTGACATGCCCGCTCCCCCTAAGCCCCACTCAGTTGACACCTTTGCACCTATGGACAAACCCTTTCGAAGCTGCACGCTTCCTGGTCTCCCGTTTGTTGAGCTTGGCGACAACGGTTGAGGGACAACCGATCTAAGCAGGGTTGAGTAGCCGCTACAGCAACAACAAAAGCCATGCTCTTATGACAGTCGGGTCTATGTAACCGGAACGACCCAGATCTGGCCAATGACTGTCACTCCAGAATTAGTCCCCAAAAACTGGGGAATTTGTATGCTGTTACAAAAACAGTAACAACAACCATGCTCCTCTTTTCCTTATTCTACATTCTCTTATGGAGTCCCGGATGATCGAGTTTCAACTGTGCCAATCAAATGAAACTAATACATTGGGCTTGGGTATAATGTATTGTATATTTGTAAGCTTTTTTCAAATGGGCTCCATCCATTTCAAAGATGCACTTAGATTACAAAATAAATTAGCAAATTAACTTAACTGCTACAACCAGCGATATAAATTCCATAATAAATTGTCAATCTTAGAACTGTAACTCTTTACAACTACAAACGCAACTTATTGCGATTTATAAATTATAAAATGAGAACATAAATGGTTTCCTTTTAGTTTACGACTAAAACTACACCTACAACTATTGCATATTACAGCATCTGTGTGACATGGCGAATAATTTACATACTATTGTACAATATACAAATATATCTGAGCATTGGTGAAACACTAACAAATGGAAATATTTTTTAATGCCTTTCAGATTAAACTGGGAAATAAGTCGTTAAAACTACCCTGCCAGACAAAATCTTCGGCACCCGTATCAAAGTGCTCTGTGGCTGTAGATGTTGGTGAACCAATAATTGATTCGTACCCATGATCTGATGCGGCCGAATGTAGTGATGGTGCGGGAGATTTCGCTAGTGGCCGTTTGGGGCGCAGAAAACGTTCTATTAAGTCGTCATCATCGTCAGAATCATCGACGACATTAAGGAAAACATGTGAGGGAGATGCGGCAGGTGAGGGATATTTTATTTCATCATTTTTTGATGGCGTTACACCATCACAGTATATCTCTTCTACTGCTTCGTTCACCGGTACGGTGTCGTCATCCATTACTATTGTTATAGAATTTGTCTTAGCGTCATATGTGCCGTACACAGTATCTAGCGGTGATGGAGGAGAATCTTCCACTTTAACTTGATGGAGTTTTATAGGCGTTACTGCTGACGCAATAGTTATAGGGGCGTTGATAGTGTTGGTTAGATGTTGTGTCGCTGCATGTAGATTATTTTGTAATCTAATTGTATCTGCTTGGACGGGGTCTACCCAGTCTGGGTCATTTATGCTGTTACTTCGTGTTTTTGTATGTTGGCTGGATTCCAAGCACTTTGTTTTGGTCCCCACCACTGGTCCAGACAGTCGCTCTGTGCAGCTTGCAATTTTGGCATCATTTTCATTGCCCGCTCCATCACCAGCTTCCATGTCTGCTGTGATATCGGCCAAGAGGCTTTCGGCAAGCTCTTCAAGCTTCCTGGCATCGAATTCTTCGTCGATGAGGAGCATATCTTGAAGAGTAGGCAAAGCGCAACAATCCTCCAGAGTGACGCTACTGAGTTGCTCTTTTTCAGTTGTTCTTCTGTCGACTGTGAGTCCATTTGAGGTGATCCCTGCGGCAGAGGGTCAGTATATATGGATACTGCAGATCCATTGAGTATGGACTCACAGCCGGCACAAGTACTAGCAGCATTTTTAGATTCCAATTTGGCGGCATTCCTGGCAACTTGCACCTGTTGCTGCTTTTGTTGCTGTTGCATCTCGTTAAGTTGTTGACGTAGAAGTTCTAGCTCCATATCAAGCTTATGGTTCTTCTCAAGAAGTGATTCGTTAATAGCCTGCAAACTTTCACACTTATTTTGCAATAACTCTGTTTTTTCTGTTAACTCGTCGATTTCTTTTTCCATATCCTCCATTCGAGCCTTTTTTCGGTCTCGTGATGTTTGTGCAGCAACACGGTTCTTTAATTTTCTATGTAAATAACGAAAAATAAAAGGTGACTTGTACTAGAAGACTGAGAATAGAATAACTTACTTTCGCTGTATTTTTTCTTCCCATGTTAGGTGGTCCAAGCGACGTTTTTTGGCCCTTGGTGCTGAGGCGCCATCCTCAACAACCACATTTCCAGCAGTTGCGCCATCGGGCGTTCCCTGTACTGTGGTGGTCGGTGCGGGCCTTATCTTCGGCAAAGTCACAGTTGGATTATGTGTTAAAGCCACGTACTTGGGCACAGTTATAAAAACTGCTGGTGATGTCGCTGCCATAGTGTATTCCGTTTGCCTCCGTTTAACGTTAAGGTTTGACAAGTTCGCAATCAATAATATGTTAGCACGGCCTTATCCGAAGTATATGTACGATATATTTCTATTGTCGCATTACACAGCTTCTTCTAAATGTTTTTTTTTTAACTTTAAATCATGTTTACACTTTCGGTTATTGCTCAAGACTGACGTGTCTCCAACAATTATCTTTATCCAATTTCTTTTCGTTTTGTGTTGGGTCAGCTTCTGGTTCATTGCTTACTATTTTCTTATGCTATTTACATTATTATGTCGCAGTATCTGTAGCCCAATTTCATTATTTTAACTTAATCGCTGTCGTGTTCAATTTGGACTGGTAATTTCTATAGGAATGGCTCCGGGTACAACTCCGTGCTTTTGTCTTCAATCGCTGACTTGGTGCCTTCTGATTGGTAGAAAAAATCTTATTTTTTGCCACTGATGATTCATCCACGACGATAATAATAGCAGGGATGTATTTAAGTGCAACTTCAGTTAATACGTTTTTATCCATTAATTGCGACTCTACATGTACATAGAACCGTTAACGAAGGACACCAGATCACGCAAGAACAAGAGAGTAAAAAAAGTCGATATTTTGAGCGGGTTCTACTCCATCGGGCTCTATCACACGGTCAGTAATTATCACGATATTTGGATCGCGATCCATGCTAACTCAGATCCAGTACTCCATGAACTTACAGGATTTTACACGAACTTGCAGGAAAAATGTTCCCGTACTCCGAAATCCTCCAAAATCCTGTAAATGAGAGCGACTTTTGGAGAGTTGTGTAGAGAATGAAGTTGCGAGATTTTACCCGAACTTTTTCTTCTGGTAAAATCATGATAAGTGTCAAGCAATCACTGGTTGACGTTTTTACAGGAAAAATGGTCTTTTTGTTCCCGTAGTATTTGTTGTTACTAACTTTTTACTCTCACTTCAGAGAGTAATTTTGCTGTTTGACAGTTTTACAGGATTTTTCACGAAAAGTATTGGATCAGAGCTATTAATGGACTGGTGGATCGCGCACGAATGCTACATGTTCAATATTTATCGCGTCAGTATTTGCATAATTTGTGTATTGTTGTACAATAAAGTTAATTGTACTACAATTTGGTCATCGTTAGCATTTATTTAACAATCCAGCGATACGAGCCGTAGATATTTGGGAAATCCCAAGAACGATAAACTACAAGAATGCGCATTCCCGCAGAATGACATTTGTGGCAACGGGTAAACAAAGAATATGGCGAAGAACAATGAGTTGACAGTTGTGAATTTGCAGTGAGAAAACATGTTTTCTTCTCGATTCACCAATTTCTCAAGCCATCTTTGAATATAGCAAATTAAGCACTACGTTAACAAAAAATATACAACCACTCTTGAAATGTGTTCAAAAGAATAGGTCTTATTAATCAACTATTTAGAATTTTTGTGTTGGTATTGCAGGTGCCGAAAAAGTGATAATATCTTGACGCAGCGCATGTTTTCCTGCAGAAAGTGGTCGATGCTTGCTTACCTCCGATTTTAATTTGTAATTTGTGGTATTTCAACGTTTTCATCTTAACATGTCGTGTTTAAAAGTGGTCCGTAAAGTGCTTCATGCATATTACGCTGGTGTCTAAATTTTATGGCTTCTCCTGCCGGCAGAACTCTACCCACTTTCTGACCAAGGCGTCGTCGCGGAGAAACAAAAAAAAAACTGCATTTGGGGGCTTTACCCCTACGGCTGCTGCAATTCAACACACGACACGACATTTTTGTAAAGTTTTTATTACAAATAAATCGTTTTTTACTTCAGAACACACGAATTACTTAGATTTTTCACTTGAAAGTACACAATACGTTTGCACTTGTTTCTAAACAAAAAGTTTGTTTACGTATTGCCATAAATGTCAAAGTTGGCAAAACCAAAGTAGCGGTTTTGGGAATGCTCCACCTTCAGTTCATTTCACCATGATGTCGATGTACGCTAAAATCAACCCCTTGCCTTTGTAAACGTTCACGCACACGCTTGCAATGAACAGCATAGCGAGCTTACGAAATGATTATTCTTGCCTACTTCAACTACACCTTTATTTTCATTACAAAATTTCCGCTTATACACCCTATACTAGGAACGCATCTATTACGATTAACAAAATACAACCATGTACATAATTCCGAAAAAATGCGCAACGCGAAATTCGGACGCGTATTTGTTTTGATTTTTGTTTTTATAAAATTCTTTATCGCAACATCATAGAATATTTAATAAAACGAAAATAAAGTGCCTTAATATGATAAAATGTATAAAAGTTAAAAGTAACTGGAAAGTGTGTCGTCATATTTAGTTTAAAAGAAGCTGATGAGGGTACATTTCCTATATCTAAAACCTGAAATGGATAACATTTTCGTGGGACAAATTGAGGAGCGTTTTACACAGCAAAATTTTAAAGCAAATTCCAAACGTGCCTAAAGACTTTAAATGCCTAACTTATAAACTACGTTGATGTCTAGTACAGCTTGAAATGCGTTAGTTCGCTTTGTTGCAATAAGGTGCAAGAACTTGATTGCGAGCGGGGCAAATGTCGGACACAGGTGTATATGTGTAAGTAAACTAAATGTTAACTTACAGGTGGTTACGGTAGATACATATGTATACCAAACGCTTGTAGCTTTTCGCCATTTTCGTAAGTAGTATTTAGTAATCGAAGATGTACGCAAGATGTTTTGGAGCATAGTGATACCTATACATATACATATGCACGTCATACAAATAAAACCCAGTGCGAAAAGGTAATGTCTGCAATGCAAAATGTTTTGGATAGCCCCTATAACCTACGCACGAAAAGATGCAAGAATTTCTCCACAGCGATGCCATTGGAAAGTAATAGTTACGTTCCAGATGCTTCAAGATATTCACGATTTGCAGGAACAGCTGTTTTCTCCATTAATAAACCTTATGGAAGGTGGTCACCTGGAACGACTTCTTGTAAGAACCTGCAAATCGACAAGCATCTGGAACGCAACTAATGTGTCGCATGTCGCTTTACGAAACTATAAATACCCAGTGGGAAAATGGGAGGGTTGACTCATTTTTTAACCATACAAAACGCGTTTAACCATTTCACTACTTTTCTTCAACAAAATAAGCAAACAATTCAAAATGGCTGTATTACCCATACAGAAGGGTGCTACCACATGTTCGAAAATTAGGGACAGTAAAATACCCAACTTATATTTCATAATGACCTCCACAACATAAGTGTAGGTTTGAATATGTGCTTTTTAAATAAATAACCTATACAAAATTTCAATTATGGTAATTTTTTTAACAAAAATGTATGGTTTTGTTTGGAAAATACATAATAATAATCCATAGTTTTTGCACGATAAAACATTTATAAAAGTAGTGAAGTAGTAAACATGCGAGGGTTGCAACTGAACACCGAAGTTGGTGCTGCCAGACGATTTATCATCACAATTTTTACTTGCGTCCACAGTATTTTTGGGTAGAACTCCTTTCTGCGTAGGCGGCCTTTGGCCGCGCTTTAGGATTATAATCCTTACCAAATTGAATTCTCCTTTTGGTGTGCACCGACTGGGGTTACCGCCCCAGTGATGTAGCCTTGGGAAAGGATGAGGTAACTAGAATTCCCTTTCTGTGTGGTAAACCTGGGGCTGCCGCCGCAGTGATGTCTATTATGGTTACTGGGTGTTTTATAAAAATGTCTTGTATATAAAAATGTCTTGTATATAAAAATGTGTATATAATTCTCCTTTCTGTGTTGCGCCTCAATCAACAGAATTTTGTGTATGCTCTATTTAGTTGTATTTTTTTGTATGGTAATTACACGATTTTTATTCAAACATTTAATTTTAAATAAAAATATCGTATGCACTTGTTTATTTCCCTGTCAGCGGATGTGCTTAAACTTAACTATATAAAATTATATATCAATTTAAAGGTATTTCTCTGATCTTTCTAATAAACACACCACTTAATATAGTTAATGACATATTTTCTTAGAAAAACGTACACATTTATTAAAAAATAGTTATAATTTCTTTTTTTTTCTCGAAAAAAGGTCTATCAATTACCTTCCCAAGCATATTTTCAAAATGGGTGCAATAGCTTTAGAAATATATGTAAGCTTTTGAAAATATTGAAAATTCCACCCTTACCCGCCCTCGCTCCGCCCCTATTAATTCCAGCAAATGGTTTACACCTTTCAAATCAGTAGAATGGAGCGGACCACACCCACTTTTAATTTTTGTTTTAACTCAACGGCCGCTATATTGCACTTATGCCCAAAATACATATCTGCAGTTTGATTTCACCCGTAGAATTGTGTAAAGCCGCTAACAAAAAGGATTTTTACACACAAAAAAAAAAAAATCAAAAAAATTCTTTAGAGTGTAACAACCAAGGTTGAACGAAAAGATACATCGCAAGGTAAGCGAGCGGGTGATGTGTAATTTTGGAGTCACACACAAAACAAAAGGTTTGAAAACTAGCTCAAGTACATATGTTTTTGTTTGTTGGTCACGGGTTCGAAACCTGTGGCAGAGGTGTTAAAGAATGCAGTCTTCGTGACTTTAAATCGTTGCAGTCACATTCACTGACTAACACTTTTTAACTGCAGCCAATCAGTCACATGTTTGACTAAAGACTCCAAAGTTGAAGTCATTAGTCTGTTCTGTTATTCATGACTAATTAGTCATGTTTGCAGTCTGAGGTGAATTATAATACTAATTTGTTTAGAAAATAAATCAGTACACAAAAAGCTTAATTAAAACACCAGTAGTATATAGAATATCTAGAAAATTAATTCAAGTAACTTTCAATGAAATAAATTTTTATTTATTGTATGTACATAATCTGTACATATTATGTAAATGCAAAAATAACAAAATGCATGCGAACATTTCAGCAACAGAAAATTTTCGAAATTGTTAGAAAGCGTTCTACGGCGTGGGGTATTCAGTAATGAAGCAAACGAAAAAAGTCTTTATCCTGCGGCCGCTTTTAATAATCGGGTACCGCTTAAGCAGAGTAATTTCTATAGATTTGTCTACCATATACGACAAAAACTCCTGCTCGACAGATGAAGATTTTGTGATACTCTGAGGAATGGAATGGTCTGAGAAGGAAATTTATTTACTTACTTATTTTTACGGTTTTAACTAGTCATTACCGATCAAAGAAAAATCGAAAAACTCACTATTGTTAAGTTCGATATTAGAGTCGAATTCCTCTAATAAGATATTTTTTAGTAAATCATTGACTTCCTTAACTTTGTAAGTATCAAACGACGAATTTAAACATGTCTGGACAAAGTACCGCTGCTATAACAGCATCATTTGCATTTTCTAAATCATAATACATATTTATGAAATCTGTTTTGCAATAATTCTTCCATTAACATTAAGTTCT